AGAGAGAAAGAGATGACAAGAGAGCCATGGAAATGACTAAAGCGTGACTTAAGTGTAGTGAGTGAATTGTGGTACATAAATAAATGGTTTAGAAGACTTAGTTTATACGGAGGAGCTGCGCAGATGTTTCCGGGCTATGAACAGGAACAACCAGGCTCCCCAAATTTCACAGCGTTCATACGAGGATCAAAAGCGATGTAGTTCTAGCGCCCGGACAGTAGTGGGCAGAGGAACTTTACAACACGACACACGTGAGCCCCAGCCCCATGACCCCCCTCCCTCCCGGCAGTATACTCACTTCCTCTGCAAGACGTGAAAGATGCAACAACATCATTCTTTAACAGCAGCTGCGAAAATGGTAACTGAACCTAGAGCTTCGCATGGTCTCGTTTGGACGAACGAAGGAGTAGAATCCTCCGTTAGCGCTCGAAGCACACGTAGCTAGTTAGCTACCCGCCATTGTTGTTTACGTTTGTTCTACTGCGCATGTCCAAATGTACGTACGGGGAGCAGCGGGAAGTGGGGGTCAGATCAGGCAGGGAAATCACACCTTTTTCCTTCATGCGGGTGTGAAAGAGCGCCCCCTGCTGAGCATCTGAGCTGTCCCACTCTGAGGCTGGATCTGAACGCTTACGTTTTCACCTGGAACAGTCTCCGTACGGATGGGGGGTAGCAACCGACACCAACTATAGCGTTTTACTGCTGCATTGTCTCCGTGTAAACTGGGCCCTAGATGCAGATTATTAGTGAGTTTCGTTGTTAAAACAGTGACTGAGTTTGTCCTTTGATGTGACTGATTTGCCTTCTCAGGTTTTCCTCTCTAAATCCTACATCCCTGACCCCTCCTCTGATTCTTTATCTCTTTTTCCTTGACCCCCCCTGCTCTTCTCCACTTTCTGACTCTTTGGGCACGGTCACAAACAAACACGGTGGCCCAGATTATTCACACATTCACTTGCATCCTCAAGGTGCATTGTGGGTGTCTGTCAAAGCTAAATGATAGTGTGAAAGAGGCAATCCATAAAGTTTGTAATTTTGATAAATGTATGTTTTTTGTGGCTGACTCAAAACTCAGAAACTCTGATCCATTTGATTACGTTATAACTATTAGTTCCAGAAGAAAATCCTGCCTCTCATTCCGTCTAGAAACTATTGCAAATATGGTTTATGATTACACATTTGTTTTCCCAGGGGAGAACCCCCCAGACCCCCTTCAACGGGGTTAGTCTCAGGCCCCAGTGAGTGTCCTCACCAAGTCTGGAACCGAACCTACGCCAATGGGTCTGGGTCAGACTGGGCTATAAAAGTCAATTTATTCAGGTCAAGCGGGTCATGTTGGTTAAATTGGGTCGGATTAAAGTGGAACATGAATTCAAAGGTTTTTTACATACACTGTATGTGAGGTGTGATTATGAACTATTTTTGTCATTTCCTCACAGGTATAACGTCGACCCATTTGATAATTACAGCGATGATCAGATCTGGGCTGCGCTGGAGAAGACCTACATGAAGGAATCTGTACGTAATCTACTTTAATATTTATGTTTAAACATTATATGGACTTCTTTATAAAGTGCACAGCAGTTAATTATGATTTTCTATTATTGACTTTTCTGGTGAAATGACTCTTGTTTTGTCATTCCACCAGAAAATGTGAGTTTCTGCGTTTCTGCGGTACAGGGTTGAGGTGGAACAAAGTAATTGTTTGGAAAGTCACAACTTAGTCTCAATTCATTGCCCTCAAGTCCCAAGTCAAGTCCCAAGTCAAGACAGGCAAGTCCCAAGTCAAGTCCCAAGTCAAAAGCCAATAAGTCTCAAGTCAAGTCGTACGGTTTGACTTTTGCGTCCTTTCGTTCAGCCCAACTCCAAGTCCTAAAGGATAATCATCAAGGACGAGTGAAATACCACATGGCACCAAATGAGTAGTGCCCTTTGGGATCTGTGCACCCTGAAGCTGGAGGAGCGGTTACAGCGGTCCTCTACAGGGTCAGTCGTGATACTTATGATATTATGTTTCCACAGATCTCACAGCTTGATGGAAAGTTACTTGCTCCCGTTATGGAAAATGGGGACAACTTCTCAGTAGGAGAAAGGCAGCTGCTGTGTATGGCCCGGGCTTTACTGCGGAACTCCAAGGTTTGTCTTACCTTAGGATTATGAAGAAAAAAACATTTGAAAGTATTATAGTTAGCACTTAATGTGAGGTTTGGCTCTGGGCAGTGTCAGGGCACAGTGGTTAGTGCTCCAAGGCAACAAGGTTCTGGTTTTGATTCCATCCCAAAAACTGGCTTTTCTGTGCGTTTCTGTGAAATTGTTTATTAAGTGCCCGACCAGTACGGCTACTATGGGGCGGGTGAATGCTTTATTATCAAACTGGACCCACCCTTCAAACGAAATCACAACAGTGAGGATGTAGAAAAAAGTTATTCTACTTTTTGCAGCTTTATTACATTAAGGACAAGAAACACAGTTTTCTCTAAACAAATCCTGCTTCCAGGATTTTGTTAGGGTTAGGGTCAGGGTTACTGAGAACATTTTCCATTCCCTACATTTTTTCTGAATCTGACCAGATTATTCTTCTGGATGAGGCCACAGCTTCCATTGACTCTGAGACAGACGCTCTCATACAGAACACAATCAAAGAGGCCTTCCAGGACTGCACCGTGTTGACCATCGCACACCGCATCAACACCATTCTGACCTCGGACCGTATCCTGGTCATGGACCAGGGACAGGTAGACCAGCAACACTTTTACAAACAGCACTTTACACACGGCTTTGTCAAACTCTCCTGATTGTGCTGTAGGTGGCAGAACTGGACAGACCAGACGTGTTACAGCAGAGACCAGACTCCATCTTCTCTTCTCTGGTGGAGGCAGCCAACGCTTCAAGTCACTGAAGACGACCAACACACTCTCACTCTTCTTGCTTTGATGATTGTCAATCGACTTATTTTTGACATTGTTTGCAGAGAAATGGCCTTACGGCATTGTGTGCTGCAAGACTGTACAGCACACAGTACAGACTACCACAGGTACCACCAAACCATACCACGCTCAGAAAGAACCGGATTCAGTTTAGTCCAGATGCTCCAAAAAGTTTAGGATTTTAACAATAACTCCACTTTCAGGATATATGTCAATGTAAATAAATGTTTTTTTCACATTGAAGCCACTGCTTTAATCCGGGCAATACATTAAACAGTTTTACAAGTCCATCATTGTCTCAGGCTCTCTGGTTCTAAGCCTTTAATCCTAGAACTCAGGAAAGAAAAACTACTGCATTTTCCTCAATTCAACATAAAAAAAAATAATTCAAAAACACAATTCAGACTTATTAAATGTCATGTTTTGAAGCTGATTTTGGCGACTTATGAGGTGAGCTCTGGTGCTGTGTGAATGACCGTGACAGCTTCAGTCTGTTGTTCCCTGAGGCCCCTGCAGCCTGCTCCCGACGACAGCAGCGTGTGTTTTGTCCACTGAAAAGAGGATTTTCAGAGATAAGGTTTGCCGCTTCGCCATAAATAACCGGAATGGGTTTGTGTATTTCAGTCCAACATATTGTGACGGCTGTTTCTTGGATGTGGGAGTTGTGTGTTGCCTGAAACCAGCCCGGTGACAGATATAGGATGAATACTTTATAGATTTGTATATAATGATAGGTGTAAGATCAGCAGTGTTGGGGAGTAACGGAAAAACATGTAATCCCACTTTCTGAGTAACTGCATTCCATTACATTTACTATTTTAAAGTCTAGTGTTTAGATTAGTTACTTTCTGAAAATCATGGGAAAACATACTTTCTCACAGTATTATAATATAAAAAAAACATTTGGGCATTCTTTAGGTGAAGATTATGTTTTTTCTGATTGTTAAATGCAGCTGCTGAAGAACTTTAAAGCAGTTTAAAAGGTGAAATGAGGTTGGGAGAAAGCTGGATGTGGCCCATTATTTAAAGTTCTAGAATATGAAGGTGCAGTGTAGCTGTTTGAAATGTATTTTTATGACCAAAATTAAAACACATTTTTTTGCAACTCTTTTCTGGGTTCATTTTGTTTGGGGATGTTTGACTAATCAGTGAAGTATTACAGACAATATCTATTAGACGTATCTTTCTGGGAACTCTTTGATCCATTCAGAGCAAATGAGTATTGACCATAATAAACGTTGCACAGAACAGATAAAGTCCATACATCCGAAAAATAAACAGTTTACTCTCAGCAGATCCTGGAAGAGGCAAAGGCTCCACCTTAAACAAAGCACATTTACAAAAGGTGTTTGTCTGAAGTCTCATCTTTGAAAAGAAACTGCCACAGGTAAGGCTTTTTTCTCCATTTCCATCGAATTGTGTATTTTATTGTAATGAATGGAAACAGCAAGACATAGTTATTATATATTGTTTTATATTTTCATTATTGCCCATCTATGCTGTGAAAGGAGGACTAAGCAGTTCTGCATTCAGCGAACCATCTGTTCTTAAGACATTAGATCCATTTTGTGACATTTACTAGGTCTATATCATATTTTATTATTAGTCTGTGCTTGAGTTCATGTCACTGTAATGAAACGTTTGTGTTCATGAATTGGTGAATACGAGAATAATGGAACACAAGACCTATATTTAGGTTAACACAAACTTCACATATGTTTCTCACACAATGGTGAATATATACATATATACTATATATATACATATATACTATATATATATATATATATATATATATATATATATATATATATATATATATATATATATATATATACAGTACAGAGCGAAAGTTTGGACACACTTTCTCTTTTTTTTATTTATATAATTTTCTTTATTTTCAGTATTTCAAGGTCTGACAACTCATGGCAGATGGCAATGACAGTTCAAAACGAGAAAATAATAATAATAAAAAAAAATAAAACGAAAAAAAATAAAAAAATAAATAAAAAGATGCCCCAGCTGCAGCCAAAAATAAATAAATAATATATATATATATATATATATACACACATACACATACACACGTACATACATATATATATATATATATATATATATTTAAAAAAATTGTCCACTCACCTTTGGCCCTCCACGGGCGGTTATCCCTCTCTAAGCTCGGGTCCTCTACCAGAGGCCAGGGAGCTTGAGGGTTCTGCGCAGTATCTTTGCTGTTCCTAGCACTGCACATTTCTGGACCGAGATGTCCGAGGTTGTTCCGGGGATCCGCTGTAACCACTCATCTAGCTTCGGGGTCACTGCCCCGAGTGCACCGATCACCACGGGCACTACTGTCACCTTTACCCTCCAGGCCCTCTCCAGCTCCTCTCTGAGACCTTGGTATTTCTCAAGCTTTTCATGTTCTTTTTTCCGGATGTTACCATCGCTTGGAATTGCCACGTCCACCACCACGGCTGTCCTCTGCCCTTTGTCCACCACCACGGCTGTCCTCTGCCCTTTGTCTACCACCACGATGTCAGGTTGGTTTGCCATTACCATTCGGTCGGTCTGTATCTGGAAGTCCCACAGGATCTTCGCACGCTCATTCTCCACCACCTTTGGAGGAGTTTCCCACTTAGACCTTGGGGTTTCCAGCCCATACTCTCCACAGATGTTTCTGTACACTATGCCAGCCACTTGGTTATGGCGTTCCATATGGCGTGTATATATATATATATATATATATATATATATATACACACATATATATACATATACATGCATACATACACAATTCAAAAAATTTCTCTGCAAAAAAGAAAAAGGAGAAAAAAATATTAAATCAATAAAGGCATCAGTCATAAAAAAAAAAGAAAAAAGGTCATAACAAAAGTAGATAAACAAACCAGAGGATCCAACAGACCAGAGAAAGACAAATAAGACACATACAGACAAAACGCATACAGAGACAGACAGATAAGACACAGACAATGACAAGATACAGACAAAGACAGACAGGCAAGACACAAATGGACAAGACACCAACAAAAAAAAGACAACTTTCACTCCCATTCACATTCATCTCACTCCTGGTGTTTCACTCCTTCTATAGGTCTGAATATATTTGGAATTGCTTTTATTTTTATTTTTTAAATGTATGGTCAGTGTTGGGCTGATTATAGGGCTTCATAAATTGTTCCCCATACATAGTTAAATTGTGCTTGGTTATTTTTTTCCGCTAACAGGGTTCTTTCAAGGCTTAAATAATATTTTAGTAAGGACTTCCATTTATCTAATCCTGGAACGTCTCTACTTTTCCAATTCTGTAGGATTATTTTTTTGTAAACCAGTGCGGAAACAATTATTTGCCATCCCATTGGATATCTAACTTTGTCCATGTTCTGAAGTAGACAAACTTTAGGCGTAAGGACAAATTTCTGCTTACATACGTTTGAAAGCCATGTTTCAATGGCTGTCCAGGATCTTCGTACATTCTCACAATACCAAAAAGCATGGATGAGCGAGTCCCTTTGATTGCATCTCAAACATGTGGGAGCAGATGTGGAATCAAATTTGTGTATTCTATCCCTGCTATAGTACATTCCAGTCATTAATTTATATTGGATCAATCGGAGGTTTTCATTGGTGGTGGCTGAGTATGTAAGTCGTAATCCATCTTTCCATTTTATTTCAGTATCAGAACTGTTCATGTTCTTGTTCCAGTTTTTGTATATTTTCTTAAAAAGATCCTTACTGCTCTTAGGTGTGATAAGCCATTGGTAAAGGGTGGAAATAAGTCTTTCGTTTGTCTCCTTCAAATATTTGTCTCAATTTTTCTGGGACTATCATCTTGGTGTCACAATGTTCTTTTATCCAGTTTGTCAGTTGCATATATTTAAATACTTCGGAGTTTTTAAGTTTGAATTTCACCTGAAGATCATCAAAGGGAGTAGCGTGATTGGAAGTTATTATATGAGATATTGCTTTAATGCCACTTTGCATCCAAGCTTCCCATCTTAAGGTGGTACCTTGAATCTTTATAGAAGGGTTATTCCAGATCCCAATATGAGTAGGGGTACCCACTTCTACATGTAGCAGTCGTTTTGTACACACTTTCTCATTCGATTAGTTTATTTTCATGACTATTGCTGTAGACCCGCACCAGGCTGTGTAAGGGCTGTTTGACCAATAAGGAGAGAGATGGTGCTGGGCCACATGACCTCCACAGTCACCGGACCTGAACCCAGTCCAGATGGTTTTGGACGTGAACCCAGTCCAGATGGTTTTGGACCTGAACCCAGTCCAGATGGTTTTGGACCTGAACCCAGTCCAGATGGTTTAGGGACTGGACCACAGAGTGAAGGGGCCAACAAGTGCTAAACATCATGGGAACTCCTTCAGACTGTTGAAGACCATTTCAGAATATAACACATATTATTTTATTATACTTATTCTATACTTCTATTTAGTACGTACATAATTCCACATGATTTCATTCATAGGTTTGATGGCTTCTGTGTCAATCTACAATTTTCATAATCGTGAAAATAAACTCTTTGAATGAGAAGGTGTGTCCAAACTTTTGGTCTGTGCTGTATACAAAAATTGGTTCCATGGTTCTCTTTAGTCAAAGTCCCGGGACGTGTGAAGCGTAAACACCAAGATGGACTACGGCACCATACCCAAGTTGGTTTTGTTCATGTCTACATCAGGGGTCTCCAACCTGTAGCTCGCCACTCTCTTTCATGTAGCTCGCCACTCTTTCATGTAGCTTGCCACTCTCTTTCATGTAGCTCGCCACTCTCTTTCATGTAGCTCGCCACTCTCTTTCATGTAGCTCGCCACTCTCTTTCATGTAGCTCGCCACTCTCTCTCCTGTGGCTCGCCACTCTCTTTCCTGTAGCTCGCCACTCTCTTTCCTGTAGCTCGCCACTCTCTTTCCTGTAGCTCGCCACTCTCTTTCATGTAGCTCGCCACTCTCTTTCATGTAGCTCGCCACTCTTTCCTGTAGCTCGCCACTCTCTCCTGTAGCTCGCCACTCTTTCATGTAGCTCGCCACTCTTTCATGTAGCTCGCCACTCTTTCATGTAGCTCGCCACTGTTTCCTGTAGCTCGCCACTGTTTCCTGTAGCTCGCCACTCTTTCATGAAGCTCGCCACTGTTTCCTGTAGCTCGCCACTCTCTTTCCTGTAGCTCGCCACTCTCTTTCCTGTAGCTCGCCACTCTTTCCTGTAGCTCGCCACTCTCTTTCATGTAGCTCGCCACTCTTTCATGTAGCTCGCCACTCTCTTTCATGTAGCTCGCCACTCTTTCCTGTAGCTCGCCACTCTTTCATGTAGCTCGCCACTCTTTCCTGTAGCTCGCCACTCTTTCATGTAGCTCGCCACTCTCTTTCCTGTAGCTCTCCACTCTTTAATGTAGCTCGCCACTTTCATGTAGCTCGCCACTCTTTCATGTAGCTCGCCACTCTCTTTCATGTAGCTCGCCACTCTTTCATGTAGCTCGCCACTCTTTCCTGTAGCTCGCCACTCTTTCATGTAGCTCGCCACTGTTTCCTGTAGCTCGCCACTCTTTCATGAAGCTTGCCACTGTTTCCTGTAGCTCGCCACTCTCTTTCCTGTAGCTCGTCACTCTTTCCTGTAGCTCGCCACTCTCTTTCATGTAGCTCGCCACTCTTTCATGTAGCTCGCCACTCTTTCATGTAGCTCGCCACTCTTTCATGTAGCTCGCCACTCTCTTTCATGTAGCTCGCCACTCTCTTTCCTGTAGCTCGCCACTTCATGTAGCTCGCCACTCTCTTTCCTGTAGCTCGCCACTTCATGTAGCTCGCCACTCTCTTTCCTGTAGCTCGCCACTTCATGTAGCTCGCCACTCTCTTTCCTGTAGCTCGCCACTCTCTTTTATGTAGCTCACCACTCTTTCCTGTAGCTCCAGAATTGAACACATGATCCTGAATGATTCCCTGTTGAGTCACTGCATGTCTATTTTAAAAATCTTGTTGTTATTGCTGGGATACTCTATAATGGTATATTGTATTTTAAATGTGTACTTTATGATTATCTGTAGTTATTTTTTAGACTGCAATTGTATCACAACAGCTAGAAGAAGTAGCTCTCTGCCTTTTCTGTTTTTATAAAAGTAGCTCTGTGATTGAAAAGGTTGGAGACCCCACATCTACATTACTTTCTCCTCAAACCTCCTTTTCCACATTGTTTTTGTGACTAATTCTGCGTTTTTCATCACCCTTTGGTTTATTTCAAGGCGTAACCCGATTGATGATGCAAGTTTTCTGTCCTTCACGACGTTTGCCTGGGTGACCCCGCTGTTGTGGTCGCTTTCCCGGAAAAAGCTGAACCTGAAATCACTTCGTATTTCTCCGTACGACACATCTGACATCAGCACAGACAGGTTCAAGAAAAGACTGGACAGAAATGTTAGAAATGATGATGAACTGTTGCTGTGGGCGTTTATTTTTGTGTGTGTATTGTTTTTTTAGATTTGACAAATTGTGGAAACAGGAAGTGGACAGAGTTGGACGAGAGAAAGCGTCTTTCTATCAAGTGCTGATGAGGTTTCTGAGCACCAGGTTCATTGCTTCATCTATAGCTGCAATTATTTCAGCAACAGCAACATTTCTAAGCAGAGTAAGTCACTAAACCATTTATAGAAGAGTTCATACATGCAGAAGCTGTCACCTCTCAACAGGAAGGTGAAGTTTGCATGTTCTCTCTGTGTCAGCATAGATTTCCACTAAAAACATTAACAACTGGAATATGGATCAGATCAAGCCTTGAGCTAATTCCAGTGTATTTACAGTAGCCCATGAATACACTGTGCCAAATACATGTGTTTTGGTACCATTCATTATATTCATGTAAAAATCTGGCCTCTCCCACTCTCTCTGACACAGGTTGCCAGATATGCAGACAAATCCAGCTGGGACCATATAATCTATAACCAACACCTTTTTCACAAAGGCCTAGATAGAAATCCTTGTTGTATTTGTTTTGTCATGAACGATTTGATAATCTTAACAAGACGTTACCAGTGAGATTAGCTTGAAGCGGTGAGTTCTGGCAACCTGGATCATGGACTTTCTGATTGGTTAAACGGTGGAGGGCGGACAAAGATTTAGGGGCTGTCAAACTAATCTCAAAATCCAAATATCTCTGAATTCCTGTTATCAGATAAAGAAGTATTGGAAAAGAGCGGTTTATTAATGCCTTTTGACTGATTAGGGCCCTTTAATGATGACAGATTAGGGCCCTTTAATGATGACAGATTAGGGCCCTTTAATGATGACAGATTAGGGCCCTTTAATGATGACAGATTAGGGCCCTTTAATGATGACAGATTAGGGCTCTTTAATGATGACAGATTAGGGCCCTTTAATGATGACTTGTCATGAAAATCTTACATATTTCTACTTTAATCAGAATCAGAATCATTTTTATTGCCATGTAAGTAACACCAGTTTAACAAAAGTTTAACAATAATAATAATAATCCATCCACTAGTTTCATTGTTTAACTTATAATGTGTACAATAATAACAATGATATTTGATTTACTAAAAATAAATATACAAACCTGTCTCTTTAAAGGGTGTCATGGTGAACCAGATCATTCAGTACAGTACAGAGCCAGAGTTCCACACTTTGGTCAAAGGAATATGTCTGGCCTTGGCTCTCTTCGCCTCAGAGTTCTGCGTCGGGTTCTTCCTGTCGCTGCAGTGGGCCGTCAACCTGCGCACAGCGGTCCGGCTCAAAGGGGCCTTCTCAGCTCTAGCTTTCCAGAAGATTCTGTCTCTGCGAAGCAACACAGACGTGACTATGGGCCAGGTAACAATTGATGTCAAAATGTGAATGTCAATTTTATTTCTATAGCACATTTACAACAACGAACGCTGCCCAAAGTGCTGCAGAGTAAAAAATAAAAATAATATGAATGAAAATCTCCACTCTTGCAGCGCTCTGATTGGTCATGAGCCGCTTCTGAGAAGAACGGCAGACATGCGACTATCACAATGAAACACACGTTTTAACCAGTGGGGGCGGGTCCCGAGTCCAAAAGGTCCATGAGCACGTGCACTGACATTCTGAAATATCACTTCTAGCAGGTGGGGGTGTACTCGGAAAGAGAATTACCCAATGCTTTTGTATGGCATCTTCTTTCCTCTCGAAAACGTCTTTACAGGATGGTCCAAAAGTGGCTCTGTGCCCAAAGCTACGTTCCAGATGCTGTCGATGCTGAGGGGAGGATTTATTTTTGGACCAGTCTAATTTAGCTGCTGTGGACTTTTGAATGCACCCGTTAAATGAATGGGGCTAGTGCAGCTATCACATGTGCAAATGTGTTTTTTCCTGCCCCAAGTCCCACAGAAGGCATAAGTGATGGCACATTAGTTTGAACCAAGCGGTAGGCGTGACTACGTCCGTTATTATTTACAGCCTATGGTTCTAACCCACGCAAAGACAGATCATGTGGGGGAGCTCCAGCCGCAGCATAACTGTCATGTTTGACATCCTTCACTTTGACACAAGTTCAAAACACTGCTAATGACAGCTCCTCCGAGTCCAGAGACCATCTCTCACTGCGCATTGTCCTTTTCAACGTCTGCAGCAGGTCGCCTGTGATTACCAAGGGCGGTAAATGTTCGTGACGTGAGAGAGTCGAGTGAGCCGACCTACATGGTCTGCCTTTAGTCCATATGGTTTAAAACGTCAAACACTCATGCGGCTGAAAGCATAGATTGTTCAAGAAGTGGCTGTCACTCCAGATCACGCAAAGTTTCATAAACACAGACTAGAGTATAGACGAGTTTTTTGGGCATTTCCGGTTTACTTCCGGCTTTTGTGCTCTCATTTCCGGTTACGCTCTTTTACTGTTTAAAAACGTGTTTTTCCTTCGTGAATTATGTCTCTTAAATGGAGACATTCGGCGACATTTCTCACGAAAGATGGAGTTTGTACAATTCCCCATCCATCCATGATAACGACTTGGGATGACAACATGTCTAAATGGCCAAAAATCACCACAACAAAAATATTTTTGTACTTCGTTGACTCCATGGCTGTGGATGGAAATGCGATCCACAACCTGAAGAGCTCGGAGGCATATCAGTACCTTCATACACACGTGCTGCCAAAAATTGTGGATGAATTTGATGAGGGAAGGCTAGAGTTGTGCTCCAGATATCTAGCTGTTGTAAATTCACCATGACCTGCTCCTACTCGATGTCCTTTGTCATTACTTTCACAAACACGGACTCATTCACCCCCACTGTGTGAAGGAGAGGTTCTGCAGGTCTTTCCTTCCTGCTCCTGTCAAACAGCACAATGAGCTGCACATGTCATTCATCTGTAAATATTGAATACTAAAACATGTGCAATACTGCATTTCAGTATGCCCACTTAATGTCACTTTATTATCCTGCGTGTATATAACTTTATATATATAAATATGTATATAATAATTAAACATTTACAGCTAGCTAAGAAATGTAACAGCTATTTCTTTTGTATTTTGTGTGCCCTGTGTGTGCTCTTACTACTGTCTTACTGTTAGGACATGTCAGCTGCAAAGTGCTATTTTTAAAGATAAAGGTTCTCTTATCTTACCCAAGTTCTCTTGTTCATTACTGGACATACTGTAAGACATTTTGACGTTTTCAACATTTTAATTGTTTGAGGAAATGTATACATACAATACAAAGCTGTGGATGGGCTCTCAAACATTTGCTTGGATGCCATCTGATGCCATTTACAAAATGGGATGGGACATGGAATAAAAACAGTTTATAATTTTTTCAGTACAATAGCTACTGCCATAAAGAAAATCAAGTAAGCTTTCAAAAGACGAGAGCGCAGTTACACTTCATGTGGCAGTCTAATCAGTCTAACTTCATATTAACCAAGGCTGCACAGATTATTAGAATTTTGTCCAGCTTTTGGACACATTGAAACGGTAAGCCACATCTCCTAACACAAGGTTAAGTTTCAATTTCATGAGGGTCATCAGTATTTGATCAACAACAGGAATATTACACGTTGGTTTTCTAAATGGCAACATTGTTTCCACCAATGTAAAGAAATGAGTCCGAATCATTCCTGTGTACAGCAGCGACGAGTGGTCATCTACTAGCACAGATTCGGCCACGGTCTGAGCCATTACAGTCTCGGTCTGCGTTTCTTTGTTTCCAATGTCTGCCTTTGCTGATGCGTAGCTGTGGTCGACCATTGACATTTCTTCCCACTGTGTCGCAGCGTCTTTACACTTACCCCCCGACTCCACCGGGCGCGTCTCCGTTGACGCGCGTTGGCTGCTGTCCGTCAGCCGTCCGTAAAACGGACTAGTGGTCAAACCGGCTGCAGCAGCGCGCAACTCTGGCTGTGCGTTTATCAGCCTGCTTTGTTTTTGTAGGAGACACGTTTGGGCATTGTGTGAATGAATGAATGTTTGGCTGATGGAGGAGTTATGTATTGTCGGCGTGCATGTGTGCGTGAGCGTGTGCGTGAGAGCGCCCGTGTGTGTGTGTGTGTGTGTGTGGTGGGAGGCGTGTGCGTGCATGTGTGTTTGGGTCTGTGACTGCAGCGTTTATTATGATCCAGCCTCTTCGTTTGTTTTCTACTTATTTAGCGCATGATACACTTTTATCGGAGCCAACTCGCCTCTCCGCGGCTTTAGGCAACAGGCAGAGCTATAGTTTTAAATAGAAGAAGCGGTGTGTGATTTGTATGAGCTGTGGCTATGATCAGTGCAAAGCACAGCATATTGAAGCATTGAGGACGTCGCGATGGATGAGGCAAAACTTATTGAAAGCAATTGGAAAAAGGGGAGAGAGAAAAGAACTCCAACATATCCAGTGTTGTGAGATCTGTCTCTCATAAGTGCAGCTGTGTGCGTGTGTGTGTGTGTGTGTGTGTGTGTGTGTGTGTGTGTGTGTGTGTGTGTGTGTGTGTGTGTGTGTGTGTGTGTGTGTGTGTGTGTGTGTGTGTGTGTGTGTGTGTGTGTGTGTGTGTGTGTCTGTGTGTCTGTGTGTGTCTGTGTGTATCTGTGTGTGTCTGTGTGGGAGCGCGCGGCGGTGAGGAGAGAGCGCCTCGCAGGTAGACGGGACAGAGCGAGAGAAAAAAGAGCGAGGTGTATGTGAAGATTAGCGTATTAACATTACGCGAAAAATAAATGGTAGATTTACGATCAGGAAACAATCATTTAAATTAATACATGAAAAACATTACACACGTTTGTTGATAATCATTGTCATTAACAAATACTTATAACCAAGGACTACAGCATATCAATACATGTTTAACAATGTTGTAAATGTATTATTCCATTGCATTTTCAATGGAAAACGGACCCGACACGCGTCGACGGACGGAACAAATAGGATTGTTTCTATTTCGTCCGTCCACGTCTTTTGCACCCTCCGTTGACGGAATAGGTCCGACGTGCGTTGGACGGACGCATGCGGAGGCAGTGGAGCCACTTCCATTCACTCTCATGGAGATAACGGAGACGGAGATGAAACGGACATGTTTGGACGGATCCGTCGTCCGTTTTACGCGCCCGGTGGAGTCGGGGCCTTAGGCTCGTTGACAATCTGGTCCACTAGCAGCACAGATTCAGTGCTCATTTCAGCCGTTTCTGAGAGACAGAAGAATCATGTTATTATGTACTACACATACAACACACACACAACAAAAATATAATCACGGGAAGCGTTTACACTAGATAACCATTTAACATTTAAGTTGTGTTCGGGTCAAATTAGACCGATATGCACATTTAAACACTCATAAAACATTCTTGTTACATCTCATTGCCAAGACTTTATGATATCCGCCACACTTTGCACTTGAATATACAAATATGATGAGCATCACTTTACTGGAATTTTGAGTCTTTTAGTTAACCTTGTTACATCTGTTGTGTTCCGGTCAAAAGTGACCACCATAGAAATGTATGTGTAAACAGATCATATTTATCCAGACAACACACACACAGACAGCACACACACACACAGACACACACAGACACAATACACACACACAACACACACACAGACACAACACACACAACACACACCAAATTAAGGGGCGAGAAACGAACACGACTTAAAGGTTAAAAGTAAAAGACTTACCGTGAGAACTTGAGGCTCTATGAAAGCCGGGGTTCCTCTTAAGTTTACGTCTCTTGCGCTGGGGAGGACGCTCGTATCCCAGGAAAAGTTCCGGGAAAGGATTTTCCTCAGTGGGCTTCTTGTCCACAAAGTGATATGAGCAAACATACACTCTTTTAGGGGGTTTCTTCAACTTTAAAGCAGCTAGCCACATCCTGGACTCGTTGTCAGCTGTTGGCTTCAAAAACAAAGCAAACGGTGGAGCACATCCACATTGGCGTCTTGTAGCTGGTCGATGATCATAACATTCTCCTTCCAGCCATACATTCAAGCGTTTCCACGAATTCGTACAACCACGGACCGCACAGTATGATCCACAACCCAGTTTGCGTTTTCCTATATCCATTTTAAAATCCGCAGAACTGGGAAGGATCCTCCATCTTCGGTCTAAACTGCAGTTGTGTAAGCTGCGCCAAGCGCAAACCGGAAGTGAAAAACAGCATAGCGCTTCAATGGCTGCGCCCATGGTTACGCCCAAAAAACTCGTCTATAACCGGTGTCAACCTTTGCGCAGCCGATTAGACTTTCTCCAGTAACGCAAACGGCCCTATATCATTTATGTTTTCTTGTTTAGATAATAAACGTTGTGACCAGTGATGGACACTGGATGTTTGACTTTGTTGCATTTGGATCCCATCTACCAGCCTCAGTCATACTTGTTGTTGTGAGCACTGTGTACGCCTGTCACGTCCTGGGCTTTACTGCTGTAGTTGGAGTCCTGTGTTATGTCCTCCTCATCCCTGTGCAGGTCGGTTTTACACATCTTTAATAAATCATTCTACACTGTTTTATTAACCCTTACTAATACACCTGGCTTTACTTTGATGACATCTTTACAAATTGCCTGAAAAATAAAAAAAAGATACGTAAATACAATGAAACGTACACACTCACATTCAGAATCACTCTGAATTCTGAATCTTTCATAATACATCAGGAGAATAGGTTTAAGGTGGAATCTGTTTTTATGTGACGTAATTGACGAATTGAATTGTGTTATAACTTCTTGAAATTTCCCGAAGTCCCACATTTGTCTCATTATTATTTGTTTGATCAGTTTTCCATGTGCAGTTTGACAAATTCATGGAGATTGTCTGCAGTGAAGTGGACAGACAGAAGAGTTCGCTTCATGAATGAGATTCTCTGCAGTGTCAAGTTAATCAAGATGTTTGCCTGGGAGGACAGCTGTGAGAAGAGAGTGGCAGGTGTGTGTTCACGTCCATAGAAGCCACAGAGAGGTGCAAAAGTCTTGGCAATCCATTATAAGTAAGGAATAAACAGGTTTAAATGCACCTAGTGTCTGTATAGGTTTCCTCCGGGTGCTCCAGTTTCTGCTGCTACTAAAAAAACCTGTACAATATAATAAAATCCTCCATCTCCCATAGCCCTGTGCTGTGGCAACCACTGCTCCTGGCTCTGACAGAGGACGCAGGCCCTATTGTGGCAGTGAAGGATGGGTCAAATGGAGATGATGGGTCAAATGCAGATGATGGGTCTAGAGCAGATTATGGGTCTAGAGCAGATGATGGGTCTAGAGCAGAGGATGGGTCTAGAGCAGATGATGGGTCAAATGCAGATGATGGGTCTAGAGCAGATGATGGGTCAAATGCAGAGGATGGGTCTAGAGCAGATGATGGGTCAAATGCAGAGGATGGGTCTAGAGCAGATGATGGGTCAAATGCAGAGGATGGGTCTAGAGCAGATGATGGGTCAAATGCAGAGGATGGGTCTAGAGCAGATGATGGGTCAAATGCAGATGATTGGTCAAATGCTGAGGATGGGTCTAGAGCAGATGATGGGTCAAATGCAGATGATGGGTCTAGAGCAGATGATGGGTCAAATGCAGATGATGGGTCTAGAGCAGATGATGGGTCAAATGCAGAGGATGGGTCTAGAGCAGATGATGGGTCAAATGCAGATGATGGGTCTAGAGCAGAGGATGGGTCTAGATCAGATGATGGGTCAAATGCAGATGATGGGTCTAGAGCAGATGATGGGTCAAATGCAGAGGATGGGTCTAGAGCAGATGATGGGTCAAATGCAGAGGATGGGTCTAGAGCAGATGATGGGTCAAATGCAGAGGATGGGTCTAGAGCAGATGATGGGTCAAATGCAGAGGATGGGTCTAGAGCAGATGATGGGTCAAATGCAGATGATTGGTCAAATGCTGAGGATGGGTCTAGAGCAGATGATGGGTCTAGAGCAGAGGATGGGTCTAGAGCAGATGATGGGTCTAGAGCAGAGGATGGGTCTAGAGCAGATGATGGGTCAAATGCAGATGATGGGTCTAGAGCAGATGATGGGTCAAATACAGAGGATGGGTCTAGAGCAGATGATGGGTCAAATGCAGAGGATGGGTCTAGAGCAGATGATGGGTCAAATGCAGAGGATGGGTCTAGAGCAGATGATGGGTCAAATGCAGATTATGGGTCTAGAGCAGATGATGGGTCAAATGCAGAGGATGGGTCTAGAGCAGATGATGGGTCAAATGCAGATGATTGGTCAAATGCTGAGGATGGGTCTAGAGCAGATGATGGGTCAAATGCAGATGATGGGTCTAGAGCAGAGGATGGGTCTAGAGCAGATGATGGGTCAAATGCAGATGATGGGTCTAGAGCAGATGATGGGTCAAATGCAGAGGATGGGTCTAGAGCAGATGATGGGTCAAATGCAGATGATGGGTCCTAGAGCAGATGATGGGTCAAATGCAGAGGATGGGTCTAGAGCAGATGATGGGTCAAATGCAGATGATTGGTCAAATGCTGAGGATGGGCCTAGAGCAGATGATGGGTCAAATGCAGATGATGGGTCTAGAGCAGATGATGGGTCAAATGCAGAGGATGGGTCTAGAGCAGATGATGGGTCAAATGCAGATGATTGGTCAAATGCTGAGGATGGGCCTAGAGCAGATGATGGTTCAAATGCAGATGATGGGTCTAGAGCAGATGATGGGTCAAATGCAGAGGATGGGTCTAGAGCAGATGATGGGTCAAATGCAGATGATGGGTCTAGAGCAGAGGATGGGTCTAGATCAGATGATGGGTCAAATGCAGATGATGGGTCTAGAGCAGATGATGGGTCAAATGCAGAGGATGGGTCTAGAGCAGATGATGGGTCAAATGCAGAGGATGGGTCTAGAGCAGATGATGGGTCAAATGCAGAGGATGGGTCTAGAGCAGATGATGGGTCAAATGCAGAGGATGGGTCTAGAGCAGATGATGGGTCAAATGCAGATGATTGGTCAAATGCTGAGGATGGGTCTAGAGCAGATGATGGGTCTAGAGCAGAGGATGGGTCTAGAGCAGATGATGGGTCTAGAGCAGAGGATGGGTCTAGAGCAGATGATGGGTCAAATGCAGATGATGGGTCTAGAGCAGATGATGGGTCAAATACAGAGGATGGGTCTAGAGCAGATGATGGGTCAAATGCAGAGGATGGGTCTAGAGCAGATGATGGGTCAAATGCAGAGGATGGGTCTAGAGCAGATGATGGGTCAAATGCAGATGATTGGTCAAATGCTGAGGATGGGTCTAGAGCAGATGATGGGTCAAATGCAGATGATGGGTCTAGAGCAGAGGATGGGTCTAGAGCAGATGATGGGTCAAATGCAGATGATGGGTCTAGAGCAGATGATGGGTCAAATGCAGAGGATGGGTCTAGAGCAGATGATGGGTCAAATGCAGATGATGGGTCTAGAGCAGATGATGGGTCAAATGCAGAGGATGGGTCTAGAGCAGATGATGGGTCAAATGCAGATGATTGGTCAAATGCTGAGGATGGGCCTAGAGCAGATGATGGGTCAAATGCAGATGATGGGTCTAGAGCAGATGATGGGTCAAATGCAGAGGATGGGTCTAGAGCAGATGATGGGTCAAATGCAGATGATTGGTCAAATGCTGAGGATGGGCCTAGAGCAGATGATGGTTCAAATGCAGATGATGGGTCTAGAGCAGATGATGGGTCAAATGCAGAGGATGGGTCTAGAGCAGATGATGGGTCAAATGCAGATGATGGGTCTAGAGCAGATGATGGGTCAAATGCAGAGGATGGGTCTAGAGCAGATGATGGGTCAAATGCAGATGATGGGTCTAGAGCAGATGATGGGTCAAATGCAGATGATGGGTCTAGAGCAGATGATGGGTCAAATGCAGATGATGGGTCAAATGCAGAGGATGGGTCTAGAGCAGAGGATGGGTCAAATGCAAATCAGAATCAAAATCATTTTTATTGCCATGTAAGTAACAGGAAGTCACAGACTTGGAAATTGCTTTGGCTCAGTGCAACCGTCAGAGAGAGATAATAAAAATAAGGAATAAAAAACACTTCTAAGGAATAAATTTAAATTTAAAATAGAGTTAAATTATTGTATACAATATACAAGTGCACATGGTGCACACAATGTAAGGTTTTGGGTCTAAAGCAGAGGAGCACACAGCACAAGATAAATGAACAATAGCTGTATACTAAATAAAATCAAACAAAATCTCTAACTCTAGCATCAAAGAAACAAGTATAAAATCTTGATCATCATAATAAATAATAATAATATTAATAATAAAGATGTATATATGTATTTGGACAATAGATTTTACTGCAGTTTTGTGATATTTGCTATGTTTGAATCTTAGGAATGAGGAATAAAGAAATGAAAGACTTGAAAAACTTTGCTTTCTCTGAGAACGTGAACGTCTCGATCCATAATTTCCTCCCTCTGTTGGCGACGGTCTCCACGGTCCTGGTCCACACGGCTCTGGGCCTCCCTCTGGACAGCGCTCAGGCCAGTACCACACAACATCACAGTCGGATGCTCTTTTCTGTGGATGACGTTTTGTGTCTTCTGTCATTCAGGTGTTCGCCATCGTGTCCATCTTTTCTCTGATAAGGCAGGGCGAGGCCATGGCGTTCTGGGCCCTGAGGGCCTTTGCCATCGCTGCTGTTGGAGTAGAACGCCTCCAGGTCACTTTAAATACACTTTCTTTAGTTTCTTGTTTCATGTGAATGTTGCTCAGTCTGATGATCAAGATACTACTATTATGAACAAAAACAATATATATTAAAACCGCAAGCGGCGTCGAACGGCCCTCGCCGCACCGCGTAGATGTGTTGAGATTATGTGGAGCAATTTTCAGCCAAATTAGTGAAACGGCCGAGGCTGGTTTGATGTTTGTGCAAGGTGTACATTTCAGAGATTTAACGATTTTCCCATAGACACAGAATGGGGAGTGTTTGTTGTTACAGACATTAGTCTGTAAGACAGTTGAAGTAACCCACCCCTTTAATAGGACCTCAATCATTTCACTGTGTACTACAGAAGTACACAGTGCCTGGAGATTGTGACTTATGAAGCTCTTCGCGAAAGTTCACTGTGGTAGACCCGGCCACTGCTGCCAGATCTACAAGCCTGCTCATCCTCTACTCATTACACCAGCAAAACGCCCACATCTAATCCACCAATAACCACCAGGACAGCAAGTTAAAAGCCGGAGACGCCCACTTTCCCGGCCTTCTGAAGTTTGCAAACTTCTGAAGCCTGCAAGGTGCATGTCGCTAACGCACCTGTTCGCAAATACATGCGTTGTTCTGGAGGGGTCGCTTCTGCTCACGTGTTGCTCGTGCGCGTGGCCCGGCTGTCCTCAGTCTGGCTGCTCGTGGTCTGCTCTCCTCCTCTGCGGGCTCTTCTGCGGGCTGCTCCGCGGGGCCCTCCGCGGTTTCTGTGCTGCTCCGTTCCTCGTGGTCTGCTGGTGCCGTGCGTGTCCCTGGCTCCGATTGGCGGTGCCGCGTTGTCCCGTTGCTTTCCCAAGTCTCCTGGCATGTGAGTACAGTGAGTGTGCCGACCACGGACAGATTAATCCCGGAGTCTAGGCTGCAGGCGACTGGTTTTTGCCCTACGCAATTGACTGCAGGCGTCAGTTTTCGCCCCGTGCTTGGTTGCAGGCTCCGTTTTACACGTGTTGAGCTAACTGAGGGACAATGCATCTTAAATGGCATCAATCTCCAATGTCTGAGGGATATAAGAGGAGCAATGTGCATTAATTCAGATTCATGTTCTGCCACTTGCAGTAAAACCACGTTGGAAAAAATGTGCAAAGACTACCCATCGTGCTCCAGACGGCACACACCAGAACTCTTGCCACGGCGCCATTTTTTACAGCATTAATCTCATTACTCGCAGGTCACTATTGTTAAATGAATGTATTTAAATTCGTCTATCTGCAGGAGGAAGGAGGGGCCATGCATTTAAATAGCTAGGTCACTAGTATTAAATTGGGTAACTAAACTGCAGTTGTTGCATTTCGAAAGTGCAGCAGAAAGAAAAGGGGCCCAATGTGAATCTGCAATGGGTTTGAAGTGGAGTTGGAGCTATGAACGCATGGAAAAGTGATGGTTCATGCGTATCTGCCATAACCAAAGCAGCAAGATGGCTCCAGGGGACATCTGTTTTTCGCATGGGAATGTTTCGGATTCGGGTTGATTTATTTCCTCAGGCTCTTAAACAACCGTGGGCATGGTTCTCTGACCGCCGCTGCTGCGGTCCCTGCTGCCGTTCCTACTGATGCCTGATCCCGCTGATGCCTGTTCCCGCTGCTGCCTGTTCCTGCTGCCGCTCCTGCTGCCGCCTGTCCCTGCTGCCTGCTCCTGCTGCTCCTACTACTACATGTGCCGCTGCTGCTGTTCCTGCTGCCGCCTGTTCCTGCTGCCTGCTCCTGCTGCTCCTGCTACTACATGTGCCGCTGCTGCTGTTCCTGCTGCCGCCTGTTCCTGCTGCCTGCTCCTGCTGCTCCTGCTACTACATGTGCCGCTGCTGCTGTTCCTGCCGCTGCTGCTCCGCGGGCTCCCGGGCGGCACCTGTCTCTACGGCTTGGCTCTTTCAGACACGTATGTAACCTGGCTCACGGAGACAAGCGGCGCACGCTGGCGTGACACGTCTGTTGTTCGTATGAATCTCATTGTGGTGCTACTGCTCCTGCTAATGCTGCTTCTGCTGCTTCATACTGCTACCGCTATTGCTGCTACTGCTGCCGCTAATGCTGCTATTGCTGCTGCTTCATACTGCTACTGCTGCCGTGCTGCTGCTGCTTCTTTACTTTGACACCTCTCTTCACTTCGCATCTCTTTTACTGAAACACTAAACAGCTTCAACAATATTCTACTGCTGTGGCTTTGATACAGGATTATTGCTGTTATTGTCTACGGATGCTGCAACCGCTGCTGCTGCCTCATACTGCTGCTACTGCTGCTGCTTCATACTGCTACTGTTGCTGCTGCTTCATACTGCTACCGTTACTGCTGCTACTGCTGCCGCTGCTGCTTCATACTGCTACTGCTGCCGTGCTGCTGCTGCTTCATGTACTTTGACATCTCTCTTCACTTCACATCTCTTTTACTGAAACGCTAAACAGCTACAATAATATTCTACTGCTCTGGCTTTGATACAGGATTATTGCTGTTATTATCTACGGATGCTGCAGCTGCTGCTGCCGCTACTGCTCCTGCTGCTTCATACTGCTACTGCGGCTGCTTCATACGGCTACTGCTGCTACTACTGCTGCTGCTGCTTCATTTACTTTGCCATCTCTCTTCACTTGCATCTCTTTTACTGAAACACTGAACAGCTACAACAACATTCTACTGCTGTGGCTTAGGTACAGAATTATTACTGTTATTTTCTAAGGACGCTGCTGCTGCTGCTGCTGCTACTGTCGCGGCTTAATACAGGACTATTGCCGTTATTATCTGAGGTTGCTGCTGCTACTGCTACTGCTGCATCCCACTCTCTCAGAAGCTTATCCTGCTTCTAATGGACGCAGCCCGGCTGGGTATGCCGCGCTGCGCTGGACTCGCACCTATGCTCCCAGGGTCGCTTCGGCGGTCATGCTTCATCTCTCTACTGAATCTTCTGATTCTATCAGATGCAGCTGGCCGAGTAGCTGCGCTGAGCCGTCAATCGGACTCCTAATCAAAGGCATCCATACCTGTATTCTTCACTCTTCTGATCGCAGGCTCCCCATCATGCTGCCCATTCCTGCAGCGGCGCTGAACTCCGGCTCATCTCCCAAGTACATGTCCGCCCTCCTCGCAGCATCTTCCTGCTCTCCTTCTATGGCTTCTCTGCGTAAGCGTTTCACCATTGCTCACTCAACCTTCATGCGGTCCGAGACACGGCCTTCCCGACCTTCCTACTATCCTGATTTCTACTCTCCAACCCAAGGTTTCAAGCGTAAGGGCGCCTGCAACATCAATGGCCCTCTCCGACATGTCTCTGCCCCTACAGGTCTCCGCTTCTACACGGACGCTGCCCCTTCCGTGGGTTTTGGGGGATTCTTCCAGGACCATTGGGTTGCCGGGCCGTGGCCGCTACTTCCACCGGAGCATCTCCTCTGCCCTACACGTGATATTCCCAGTGGTCGTGGCCTGCGCGCTGTGGAATCACACGTGGCAGAGAGAGGATCTCTGTCACGTGTGATAATCTCGACGTAGTGGAAGCATTACACAAAGGTCGCTCTTTTTCACCCAACATAATGTCCCCTGACCATTTCAACCTCCGTCTCAAACATTCAAAAATCAAAGGAGCCTGCAATATAGTAATAGCTCGCTCGGACACATCTCTCTGCCCCTACAAATCCTTTATGCGTTACACTCGCCTCCGCTGCAAAAAGGAGATCTTAACGGACCTCTATTTCTCACTCCAGACATTCTTCCCATGACAGCAACCTGGTTCAGAGCTCAACTAAGATCCCTACTGCTCCTCTGTAATTTGTCTCCCCAGCTCTACACAGCTCACTCCTTCAGGATAGGCGCCGCCACGCACGCGGCCTCGCTGGGGCTCCCCCACACCTCTCTGCAACAGCTGGGGCGCTGGTCCTCTTCGGCTTTCTCCACCTACATCAGGCCAGACGCGTCCGCTATCCTGGCTGCACAACGTCTACTGGCTTCCTCGTAAGCTCCCAGCAAAGCAATACAAAGCAAAGTAAGTGAACCAATAAGATTCTGGTGGCGGCACGCACTTCTTCAAAGATAACCCTGTTGCAGCGTCCGGTTGATCGTGATGCGAGCGCTCACGTCCCGGCGCTTAAAGACAACTCTGCTACAGCGTCTGGTATCGATCGTGATGCGAGCGCTCACGTCCCAGACAGCGTCCGGTTGATCGTGATGCGAGCGCTCACGTCCCGGCGCTCAAAGATAACTCTGCTACAGCGTCTGGTATCGATCGTGATGCGAGCGCTCACGTCCCAGGCAGCGTCCGGTTGATCGTGAAGCGAGCGCTCACGTCCCGGCGCTCAAAGATAACTCTGCTACAGCGTCTGGTATCGATCGTGATGCGAGCGCTCACGTCCCAGGCAGCGTCCGGTTGATCGTGAAGCGAGCGCTCACGTCCCGGCGCTTAAAGACAACTCTGCTACAGCGTCTGGTATCGATCGTGATGCGAGCGCTCACGTCCCAGACAGCGTCCGGTTGATCGTGAAGCGAGCGCTCACGTCCCGGCGCTTAAAGACAACTCCGCTACAGCGTCTGGTATCGATCGTGATGCGAGCGCTCACGTCCCAGGCAGCGTCCGGTTGATCGTGAAGCGAGCGCTCACGTCCCGGCGCGCAAGATAACTCTGCCCGTTTTTGGGGATCATGCGCGCGAGCAAGCGCCGCACTCATCAGCATCTCTCCCGGGCCTAGGGCGCCAAACATACTCAATCAACAAACTTCTAACTGCATTTTCCCTCTTGGGTCTCTCCAAAGTGAAATGAAGCTCTTCGCGAAAGTTCACTGTGGTAGACCCGGCCACTGCTGCCAGATCTACAAGCCTGCTCATCCTCTACTCATTACACCAGCAAAACGCCCACATCTAATCCACCAATAACCACCAGGACAGCAAGTTAAAAGCCGGAGACGCCCACTTTCCCGGCCTTCTGAAGTTTGCAAAGCCTCCGCCGCCCCACCTCCTCCTTCTCTCATCGAAGCGTGCTTGCCTACTGCCTCTGCCGTCACCAGTGCCTAGGCCCCGGGGGGGATCATGCGCGCGAGCAAGCGCCGCACTCAACAGCATCTCTCCCGGGCCTAGGGCGCCAAACATACTCAATCAACAAACTTCTAACTGCATTTTCCCTCTTGGGTCTCTCCAAAGTGAAATGGCAGTTATAACGAGTAATGCCTGGGAAAGCATTAGGCCCTTACCCCAGTTGGGGTAAACGTCTGCCTGCATGTGAAAGCCGGACCCTGCCAGATCTCAGAAGCTAAGCAGGACACTCCAGTTTACATGTAAAGTATCCTCTAGTTTAGATGTAAAGTATCCTCTAGTTTACATGTAAACAGTAAACCAAAGGCCCCAACATCAAACAAAGGCCAGGTTTAGGTCACAGCAGCAGAGGTGGAGCAGCCGCTTGGTACGGATAATTTCGTGTTTAAATATATTTATTGCTTTTTCACATTACAAATGAATAAACAAAACAAAAGAAAACCCGATCCCCCCCACCCACCGGACTGTCACCAATTCACATATACCACACAGATTCATTGCACTCGAATATAGTCAAACGTCAGTCTATTAAAGACCTGAAAGTCGAACGAAAGAAACATATAACAAAAAAAAACAAACATCAAGGGTAAACCTGAGTTGTTGGCTTTTCAAAGAATGTTATAAAGGGTTTCCATATATTAACAAACTTTTTCTCAGAACCACGAATTGCATATCTTATTTTTTCCAGTCTGAGATTAGAAATGACGTCCCTAATCCAATGTGTCACAGAAGGCGGCATAGATCCTTCCACTTTAAAAGAATGAGGCGGCGAGCCAATAGAGTGCTAAAAGCAACCACCTTGTAGCCCTCAGCTGGGAGCTGAAGCCCATCAGGTATGATTCCAAATAAGGCTATTAAAGGGTCTGGAGTAATTCGGACCTCTAAAACTGTAGACAAAGCCTCAAAGATACCTCTCCAATATACCTCAAGGTTAACACAAGACCAAAACATATGGAGCAGTGTAGCCTCGCTAATTTTGCATCTATCACAAAAAGGATCTGTTTGAGGAAACATTTTTGCCAATTTAGATTTAGACAAATGCACACGATGCACAATCTTAAATTGAATCAGGGAGTGACGGGCACACATAGAGGAAGAATGAACTTGCCTTAAAATCATAGCCCATAAATCATCATCTATAGTCATCTGGAGGTCTTCCCCCCATAACTTCTGAATTTTAGACCCAGAGGGAGAAGATGACACGCCCAACATTTTAATGATTGATGAAATTGCTCCTTTCTTCTTCAATGAACAGGTAAAAAGATTTTCGAGAAGACTATTTGGTGGCCTATGAGGGAAAGTTGGAATTGCATCTTTAACATAATGCCTAAGTTGCAGATATCTAAAAAAATGAGACGGTGGAAGACCAAATTTCCGAGTTAATTGCTCAAATGATGCAAATTCCCCCTGAAAAAAAAAGTCACCTAAACATTTAAGTCCCTTATTGTTCCAAATTCTAAATATGTTGTCATGCATTGAAGGCTGGAAAAAAGGATTTTTTAAAATAGGGCTAAAAAGACAGACTTTTGACAAATTATGATGCCTCCGAAATTGACCGTATATTTTTAAAGAATTGATAACCACAGGATTCCCCCCAGGCACATTAGACCACTGCATTGGCAAAGATGAAGATAGAAAAGCTGACAGAGACATCAGGTCACACGAGCGTCTTTCCATAATCAGCCATACAGGACTCTCTTCGTCAGAGATGCAGTGCACCCAGAAGGATAAACAATATAAGTTTGCAGCCCAGTAGTACATTTTAAAATTTGGAAGAGCCATACCCCCATCCCTTTTTGGTTTCCGTAAGAACTCTATCCGTAAACGAGGCTGTTTCCCATTCCAAATGAACCATGTTATAACTGCGTCGAGTTTTTTGAAAAAACTCCCCGGAATAAATATAGGCAGACACTGAAATAAATATAAAAACTTTGGAAGAACCATCATGCCAATTGTATTAACCCGAGCAATTAAAGAAATAGGAAGGGAAGACCACAATGTTAGATCCTGTTTGGTTTGCAGTAAAAGTTTCCCCAAATTTAGTTCAAACAAGTCAGAAAAAGCCTTGGTTACTGTAATGCCAAGATAGGTAAAGTTATCTTTCGCTACTTTAAAAGGAACTGTTATACATCCCAATGCTAACTCCGTCATATTAAGTGGCATCATTTCACTCTTCTGTAAATTCAACTTATAACCAGATACTTCTCCAAAATGATGAAGTAACTTAATAATCTGGGGAATAGTAGACTCCGCTTCAGATACAAAGAGTAAGAGATCATCCGCATATAAGGACAACTTGTGTTCGATATTTCCTCTAGTTATCCCCGTCACACATTTGTTGCTTCTTATAGCAATAGCAAGAGGCTCGATTGCCAAAACAAAGAGCAAAGGGCTGAGGGGACACCCCTGCCTTGTCCCACGATGTAAGGTAAAAGGTTTAGAATACAGGTTATTAGTCAAAACCATGGCCGAGGGGCACAAGTACAGAAGCCTTATCCAAGAAACAAAAGACGCGCCGAATCCGAATTTTAACATAGTCCCAAATAAGAAATTCCATTCCACCCTATCAAATGCTTTTTCTGCATCCATTGACAAAAAGCATTCAGAAACAGACTGACAGGGAGAATACAGAATGTTGAGTAAGCGTCGAATGTTAAAAAATAATGGTCTTCCTTTAACAAAGCCTGTTTGATCTGAGGAGATAATATTAGGGAGAACACCTTCAAGGCGGAGGGATAAAATCTTGGTCAAAATCTTATAATCCGAATTAAGCAGAGAAATTGGTCTATAGGATCCACAATCCAGTGGGTCTTTATCCTTCTTTAACAAAAGTGTAATACAAGCCTGATTAAAAGAAGGAGGAAGATGACCAGAGGCCAAAGACTCTGCATATACTTTAGTCAAAATAGGAGATAGCTGATTTGAAAAAACCTGGTAAAATTCATTGGGGAAACCGTCTGGACCTGGCGATTTTTTCGTTTTCAATGATTTAATAGCAAAGCACACTTCCTCCTGGGCAATATGGTCATCCAATAATAAAGCTTCTTCTGGAGAAAGAGATGGGAGATTCAGATTTTGAAAAAAGCCCTCGATTGAGTCCAGACTGGGATCACAGGCAGTGTACAAGTTGTCATAATATTCTTTAAAGGCGCTATTAATTCCTTGTTGATCCGTAGTAACAGTACCATCCAGAGCTCGTACACCAGAAATTAACTGCTTAGCCCTTGCGCCCCTCAACTGTCTAGCCAAAATCTCTCCAGACTAATCTCCATGCTCATACACAGAACTTCTATTTTTGAGTAATAAATTTTCAATGTAGTGTGAAGTAAGCAAATCATATTCCGTTTTCAATTTGAGGCGTTCTTTATCCAAATCAGGAGAAAGAAGAAGAGAGTTTTGAACATCAATTTGCTTGATTTGTCCATCCAACTTAACCTGCGCTACCATAGAGATCCGTTTTTTGTTAACCATATATGAAATTATTTGTCCTCTCATAAAAGCCTTTAAGGATTCCCACACCGTTAAAATAGACATGCCCTCCGTCATATTTATCTCTAGAAACATCATTATTTCCTGCGCTAAAAATTTGACAAATTTTTCATCCGACAGTAGCAATGAATTAAACCTCCAGTGTCTCCGAGCACCTCCGCCCTGAGGTAAAGACAAAGCTAATACTAAAGGGGCATGATCTGAAATTATTATAGTTTCGTATTCACAAGCACGCACACATGCAGCCAGCGAAAGTTCAATTTGGTAGACGTTAACCAAAATTACCCCCTCCAGGCGGCTCTCATCCCCAGCCTACCGCTCTGCAGACGCCCCCTTCCAATCATCTGTACCGACTCGCCAGCCGCATAAAAACGGAGAAAACTCCCACTACCGGCCTCTTGAAGCCTCGCAGTGTATGCTAGCTTAACGCGTCTGTACACCATGCAAGCTTCTACGACCGTCCGCGCGCCCGCGTCTCCCGACGACTCGGCGCCTGACTCCCCTTCCATCCTCCTCCGCAACGTCTCGCCTGTGGCCCCCAGCTCTCGTAAGAGCGTGCGTCTGGCTTCCAGGGACCCAGGGTCGGTGCGCGCCTACCTCGCAGCGCGGGGTGTTGTGCCCGGCCCCGACGCTACGTCTCTTCAGCTCCAGAGCCTCTTCGACCAGCTGTCAGCGGGCTCTACCTCGCCCCTCCGGGAATTGGTTCCCCCTCCCCGCAAACGTCAATCCAAGACGAAGCACACTCAGGCGAAGCGCGCCTGCCTCCCGCGGCCTCCTCTCGCGGATTCTGGGCCTTCCCCTGGATCCTCAGGCTCTTCTGCTGCGGCCTCCCGGGCTCCTCCACGCGCTCGTAGGCCCCGCTACGCTGGCGCACCTACGGCGGTCCCGGCGTCTTCTCGGGTCGTTCCTCCCGTGGCTGCCCCCCTGGCAGGTCCCGAGGACGCCCCCACTGCGGCCCAGGACCGCGCTCTTCTCTGCGCGCGCACGGACGCTATTCTGTCCGCTGTCTCCTCTCTACAGCGCAACATGGCTTCGGTGTCCACGCGGCTCCGTGCCGTCGAGCACCAAGCTCCCGCCGCCGTCCCGGCGGCTTTTCCTGCTGTTGTCCCGGCGCCCTCTCCTACGGTGGCGTTTCCCGTGGACTCTCACGAGGCCGGCTTCTCCCTCGGCACCGCTGTCTCCGCTCCAGCGTCTGGTAGGCCTCACATTCACGCATTTTCCAACGTGTCTCCGCGCCTCCGCTCCAAGATTCTTCTGGGCCGCTATATCAATCTGGTCTCCCTTATTCTCCCCTCTCCCGAGTGCGACCGACAGGTGGCCGCTTCGGACCTCATCACCGCGGTCGTGAAGACTGCGGATCCCCGGTTGTCCCGTGAGCTGAACATTGGGGAATTCCTCGTCGCCTTCGGGGTCTACCGCGACGTCATATGCTCCGTGTACCCCGAGCGGAGGCCTGAGCTGGATTCCTATCTAAGCCTGATGGGGGACCTGTCCCTCCGGTACGGAGGCAGCATATTTTATCGTTACCACAGAGCCTTCGCTGCCAAGGCCGCGGCCCTTATCACTCAGGCAAACTTCCGAGTGGACTGGGCGGCCCTGGACACCGAGGTGCTGCTCCTGTCCATCGGCGGCACCCCCGCTGTTTCCTGCTCCCGGTGCGGCGCTTCGGGACACACGTCCCCCCTCTGCCCGGGCATCCCCTTCGGACACGGTGGGGGCGAGACCAAACCTCTAGGGCTGACTTCCCGTGCGTTCGGGGCTGGCCCCCCCAAGTATGTAATAAATTCAATATGAGCGTGTGTTCCTTTAATCCGTGCTCTTATCTCCATGTGTGCAGTGTGTGCAGGGAGGCCCACCCACGCTTTCTGTGTCCGCGGCGCGGCCAGCAAGGCCGCTCCGAGGGGCCTTCTTCCAGGCGCTGATCAGGGCCCACCTCTCGACCCCGGTCTCCGTGCACGGGCTCGCCCACGCGCTTGAGCTCCATCCCGACCGGGTTTTCGTTCAGTTCCTCCTGTCTGGCCTGGCCCACGGCTTTCTCGTGGGTGTCGAGGCCCTCCCCACGGCGTCTCTCGTGTCCCGCAACCTCCTCTCAGCTTCCCGTGAGCCCCAGGTCGTTACGCGGCTTCTGGCACGAGAGGTGTCCCTGGGCTACGTCATCGGCCCTTTCTCCAGGCCCCCCTTCACTCTGTTCCGTTCCAACCCGTTAGGCATCGCCACCCGTAAATACTCTGGGAAGAAGCGTCTTATTTTCGACCTCTCCTGTCCCCGCTCCGGGCCCACTCCGAGCATCAATAGTCTCATCCCTCTGGCTCCTTTCTCCCTGCAGTACGCTACCGTGGACCATGCGATCAGGCTTATAAAGACTTTCGGCCCCGGCTCCTGGCTCTCCAAGGCCGATATCACGGACGCGTTCAAGCTGCTGCCCATCCACCCAGACCACTGGCACCTGTTCGGAGTAAAGTGGCGTTCAGAATTTTTCTTTGCCGTGCGCCTCACTTTTGGCTGCCGGAGTAGTCCCTCTTTATTTAATAATCTTGCGGAGGCGCTGTGCTGGATCCTGCTAAATTACGTACGGCTCCCCTCCGTCCTGCATCTCCTCGATAACTTTCTCGTGGTAGACCCACCCTCGGACGGCTCCGGGAGCTCTCTCCGCAAACTCAAGCTCGCTTTCTCCGCCCTGGGAGTCCCCCTCTCCGAGGAGAAGACCACAGGCCCCGCCACCGCTCTAGAGTTTCTCGGGATCCGCCTCGACACGCGCGCCATGGAGGCCTCCCTCCCGCTGGACAAACTCGAGCGCATCCGCGCTATCTCCCGGTCTGCTCTGTCATCCCTGTCACTTTCGAAGCGTCAGCTGCTCTCCCTCCTCGGGCATCTTAATTACGCCATCCGCATTATTCCTCAAGGTCGCTCCTTCATCTCCAGACTCCTCTCCCTCGCCGGCTCCGTCTCCTCCCTCAACGACGCGGTCCGCCTGGACGCGGGGTGCCGCTCCGACCTGGCGTTCTGGTCTCGCCTGCTGAGCCGCGGGAATGGCGTCTCCTTTTTCTACAGCGACGTCGTCCTATCCTCGGACGACCTGCGGTTCTTCACGGACGCAGCCCCGTCCGTGGGTTTTGGGGGATTCTTTCAGGACCAGTGGTTCGCCGGGCCCTGGCCCGACGCCTTCCCTCAAATCATCTCCTCCGCGCTCCACGAGATATATCCCGTGACCGTAGCCTGCGCGCTGTGGAGCCATACGTGGCAGAGGAAAAGGATTTCCGTGATGTGCGACAACCTCGACGTCGTCGAAATAATCAACAGAGGTCGTTCATCCTCTCCCCAAATCATGACTTTTCTTAGACGTATCACATGGCTCTCAGTCCTGAACAATTTTATTATCACTGCTCGTCACGTCCCTGGTCACCTTAATTGTCTCGCTGATTCTCTCTCTCGTTTCAAATTTCAGGAATTCCGACGCCTCTGCCCTTCTGCCAACCCATCGCCATGCCAGATCCCCTGCATGGAATCCCTCGCCCTGGACTAATCCCTCCGTCTCTTCACCTCCTCATCTCCTCCGCTGCATCCTACATGAAGAGGGGCCTCTCACCTTCCACACTGAAATCCTACAGCTTCGCATGGAAAGTCTACTCCAGCTTCTGTCACGCCCACTGCATTCCTCTCATTCCGCCCTCTGCTGTCACCGTCTGCGCCTTCATAGTTCACTGCGCGGATAACCTCCATTATAAAATCACATACATTCGCGCCCTACTCGCCGGGATACAATTCCAGGCCCGCTGTCACAACCCTGCTTTCTCCTCTCTTTTTTTCCGATCCGTCAATCAAACTAGTCATCAAAGGCATTCACAATTGCTCCCCGCATTCCTCGGACCACAGGCGCCCCATCACACTGTCCATCCTCCACCAGCTCTGCGCCGCACTCAGCTCCAGCTCGCTTTTTACGGCTTCCTACGCATAAGCGAATTCACTAACCCCCTCGCCACCTTTAATGCAGCCAAAGACATTGCCTTCTCCGACTACTTCAACCTCCACCTCAAGCATTCCAAACACAAAGGCGCTTGCAATATAGTCATAGCTCGGTCTGACACTTCTCCCTGTCCCTACAGATCCATGATGCATTACACTCGCCTCCGCTCTCGGAAAGGAGATCTCAACGGACCGTTATTTCTCACCCCCGATCACCTCCCAATGACATCTAACTGGTTCAGAGCCCAACTAAAGTCTGTATTACTGCTTTGTAACCTGTCTCCCCATCTCTACACAGCGCACTCCTTCCGGATAGGCGCCGCCACGCGCGCCGCGTCCCTAGGTCTCCCCCATTCTGCGCTCCAGCAGCTGGGCCGCTGGTCATCATCGGCCCTCTCCTCATACATCAGGCCTGACACCTCGACCATTCTGACAGCCCAGCGGCTTTTGGCATCTCCATAAATCACTCACAAAACTTTCTGGTGGCGGCAGCAGCCGAGGATCCGCAAGTATTGATCACAGTAGATAGCGGTCACAGCATATAGCGATAGCGGTCACAGCATATAGCGATAGCGGTCACAGCATATAGCAATAGCGGTCACAGCATATAGCGATAGCGGTCACAGCATATAGCGATAGCGGTCACAGCATATAGCGATAGCGGTCACAGCATATAGCGATAGCGGTCACAGCATATAGCAATAGCGGTCACAGCATATAGCGATAGCGGTCACAGCATATAGCGATAGCGGTCACAGCATATAGCGATAGCGGTCACAGCATATAGCAAAAAAATGGTTAGCAGCATTGCGCTGGCGGTCACAGCATAGCGATAGCGGTCACAGCATATAGCGATAGCGGTCACAGCATATAGCGATAGCGGTCACAGCATATAGCGATAGCGGTCACAGCATATAGCGATAGCGGTCACAGCATAGCGATAGCGGTCACAGCATATAGCGATAGCGGTCACAGCATAGCGATAGCGGTCACAGCATAGCGATAGCGGTCACAGCTTAGCGATAGCGGTCACAGAATAGAGTAGTCACGACGTCTGTCCCCTCCAAACCAGGCTTCGAAAACTCCATCAACACGCAGCCTTTTTGGGGATTGTGCGCGCTCATCGCAGGAGCCTTTCCGATCCGAAGGCCGCACCGGGACCTAGGGCGCCAAACCTCCTTTCAATAAAATACTCAAAACTTCCTGTTTCTCGTCTCTCCAAATTGAAATGCAGCCAGCGAAAGTTCAATTTGGTAGACGTTAACCAAAATTACCCCCTCCAGGCGGCTCTCATCCCCAGCCTACCGCTCTGCAGACGCCCCCTTCCAATCATCTGTACCGACTTGCCAGCCGCATAAAAACGGAGAAAACTCCCACTACCGGCCTCTTGAAGCCTCGCAACCACCGCCTCCCCTCCTCCTCCTCTTCACCCTGCCTCCATCTGCTCAATTTTCTTCCCGCTGCCAAATGCCGCCACCAGTGCCTAGGTCCCGGGGGATTGTGCGCGCTCATCGCAGGAGCCTTTCCGATCCGAAGGCCGCACCGGGACCTAGGGCGCCAAACCTCCTTTCAATAAAATACTCAAAACTTCCTGTTTCTCGTCTCTCCAAATTGAAATGAAGAAAGCTTGTTATCAATAAAAAAATAATCTATCCTACTATATGTATGATGAACGTGCCAATAAAATGAATAGTTTCTATCTTGAGGGTGCAAGAAACGCCATATGTCAGAGACACCATATTCCTTAAGAAAAGATTTCACCCAGGCCGCCGACCTGGATGACACATTGCTCAATCTAGGGGAAGACCGGTCTAGTACCGGATCCATGGTCAAATTAAAGTCTCCACCCATTATAAGTAAATGTGAATTCAAATCAGGAAGCAACTTAATGATACGTTGAAAAAATAAAGAGTCATCAAAATTAGGAGCATATATATTGACAAGCGCTACTTTAGTATTATGTAATAAACCTGTCACTATCACATATCGCCCATTAACATCCACATAAGAATTTGAGTGAATAAATGAAGTATCTTTGCTTATTGCTATGGCCACCCCCCTTGATTTAGACTGAAAAGTGGAGTGGAAGAGCTGGCCTACCCATCCGGTTCTAAGGCGAAAATGATCAGAACTTTTAAGATGTGTTTCTTGAAGAAACGCTATGCCAACCCTCAAATGTCTTAAATGCGTCATAACCTTTTTACGCTTGACAAGATGATTCAAACCCTTGACGTTCCAACTTATAATATTCAAATTAACCTGCATTTAATAACATTAGCATAACATGAGACAATCTGTGCCATGAAAACAAAAATGGAATAGAATGTATACCTGATATAAACATGAGACATTTGCATATAGTGACAGCCCAGAAAAAAAACAAAACAAAAACAAAGCTAACAAAAAAACCCACCCCAAAGGTGATTCTAGCTGTAACAAACAGTAAAACAGCACACCTAACCTGCCTAAAACTAACGTCCTCCGAGAAAAACAAAACACCCTAATCTCACTTGGACTCCATTTAGCATAAAAAAGAAAATATTGACCCCCCAATATATGAATCAGATTAAAAAACAAGAAAATACAAGCATGAACAGCTATAGTATATAGTCAAACAAAATAACAGCATGGCCATGTAATGATAACTTAAAAAAAAAAACAGCTGACCAGCAGCACTTACAAAAGTCTGGCCATATATACGTTAAAAGAACAAAACAGAAAATACAATAGCAGAAAAAACACCATCGAGTCAGTCCCAGTAAAGTCTCTTCAAACAGATTTGTTCACCTCTTCGACATACCTCTCTGCCTCGTCCACTGATGTAAACAACTTGCGCGTGCCGTTTGTTTGAGTGATACGGAGTTTAGCTGGGTACAGAAGGGCTGGCTTTAGCCCCAGTTCGTATAGCGAAGACATGACTGCTTTGTACACTTTCCGCTGAGTGACAACCTCCGATGGGTAGTCTTCATAAAGTCGAAAAGTGTGTCCCTGGTAGACCAGAGTTTTCCTCACCCGAGCCTCACGCATTATCAGCTCCTTTTGCTGAAAACGATGGAAGCACACCATGACTGGCCGTGGCCTATCCCCGGGCTTCGGTTTGGGAGCCAGGCTGCGGTGCGCCCGGTCTAACTCGGGCAGAGACGGGAATAAATCACGGCCAAATACCTCCTGAAGTAGTTGAGCAAAAAAGTTAGTCGGTTGAACTCCTTCTATTGACTCCGGCAATCCCACCAATCTAACATTGGAACGTCTGCTCCGTCCTTCCAAATCCGTAACTTTAGTGCGTAGCTTCTCATTCTCTGTTAGCACCTTGAGGTAGCAGGCCTCGAGTTTCTCCAAACGTCCATCTACGGATTCAGCATTGTCTTCTAAAGACGTCAGTCGACTGTCGTGACTATCCACAGACTGTTGAAGGCAATCTAGCTTCCCGTCGATTCTATTAAGGGATGTGTTGAGGTCAGCTAAAAGAGAATTCTTGTGCTCTGCTAGCGCTGCTAACAGATCTTCCTTGCTAACAGCGGTGATGCTAGCGGCCTCCGCACTTTCACTCTTTTCTCCGGCTCTGTGTGACTTCGGCATCTTACATCGAAGAGAAACTCCAATCTGGCTCGAATATATAAACAAACAAACTGCCCAGCTGACGCAAAAGAACACAAAATAAAACGTTGGGGGGTCAAAAAGTAACAGTTAAGTCGGGAGCCCAGCTTCCACACGCCTCTACTCCATGAGCAACCAACCGGAAGTCCTCTTGGTACGGATAATTTTCTCTGCTCTGGTCCAATGTAAAATGTTTAATGCTTCATTAGCATTTTTCAAAAAGTAAGCTACTGAATACTGATTAAATGACTTAAATATACTTGAATTGCTTTGCAGACGATAATGCGGCTCAGGACTCCAGAACCGTACCTGATCAAAGGGAGTGACCCGGACTTGTCTATAGTCATGGAGAACGCAACACTGTCTTGGATCAGACCTGAAGAACCGACAGAACCCAGCCAAGAGATCGCAAAGCCCATTTTAAATAACATCTCTTTCACTTTACCAAAGGTTTATGTCTTCAATATTCAAAAGGAACTGGGGGAAAATGGTGTCACTAATCTCTACATTCTCTCATCAAGGGCAAAATACTTGGAGTTTGTGGAAACGCCGGGAGCGGGAAAACATCTATTGTTGCTGCTCTTTTAGAACAGGTTTGTTTTAATGGAAGCACGTATACAAAACATACAGTATTTCACGCTGCTGTTGCTGTATCGGACTTTTGTGGTGAAGAGGCAAAAGCCAAAGCGCTCAAATTATTGCTCAACCTACGTTCACACCTTCACCAATGGTCATGAGCCGTGGTCAAAGTGTTACGGCACAAAAAATAACACATTTATTACGAGGTTGGGCAAATGGCTGTTTGGTTGCCAGAAGTATTTGTCCTGCTCATGGAGACTGTTGGAGTTTGCTATAATCAGCCTCGAGGGTGACGTAAGGTTCGGCCACTCCTACAGTCTATAGTCCCACCAGAAGGAGGCCCCAGGGAGGACACAGCCCTCTCTGGAGGAATGTCTCTCAGCTGGCCTGGTCTACGCCTTGGGACTTCCCCAGAAGAGCTGGAGGAAGTGTCTGGGATAGGGAAGAAAAAAGAATAAAGTGGAAGAAAATGGAACGATCAGTGGATACAGTGAACAAGAAATTAATACGCTTCAATTTTAAGTCAATTCAATGTTTTCTTGTGTTGCCTTAAATCACAGCTGTAGTTATCTCAGAAAACTTATCTATTTAGTTATCTACTAAACTGTTTAAATCTCCAACACAGATCAGAGAATCAAACAGTTCAAACTCATAGAACACACAAGTTTTGGTCCATAGGGAGTTGACCGATGTCGTTGATAAGTGTTGTAGAATGTTGAGTGTGTATTGTTCCAGATGTACCTTCAGCAGGGATCAGTCGTGGCCTCAGGGACCTTTGCTTATGTTGCTCAACAAGCCTGGATATTCCATGGAACTGTCCAAGAAAACATCCTGATGGGGGAACCCTTTGAGCAAAACAAGTAATCATCATTGAATAGTTCCCATTAGTAAATTCTAACTCTATTATTAATGTTAAAAAAGTGCAATTCACCAGAACCCATTTACAATAATTACCAATCATGCCAATTCATGTCAAATTACTTTAATTTAATTCTTTCAGTATGTTTTGTATGAGCTTTCCATGTTTTCTGGCACTGGTTGAACTGTTTGTTACAGATACGACAGAGTCCTGGATGTCTGTTGTCTTCATAATGACTTGAAGCTTTTCCCACATGAGGATCAAACTCAGGTTTGTGTCCGCAATAAAAACGGTATCCATTAAGCTGTATATTTATCGATCCAGGAGCAAAACAGAGGGTACAGATGTTGTGGCTTAGTTTAGTACAGTGCATGATAAATCTTTTCTCTGATGTGAAGGCGAATCACTTTTGGAAAACATAACGTTCTGTATATTTTGCCCTTAAATTGGACTGGGACCAGCTGGTTGGCTTATTGTTATAATTTACCCTTGAGGTATTTACTCAATGGCACATACTGTCATGTAGGTGATGAAAGCAAGGCCCCAAAATGATTTTAAATACATCAAAGCCTAAAGAAAAACACATAAAGGAACCAAACAGGGATCAAGGACAAGAACTAGAACAGACGTGGAACGACAATGATGGAACAGGGAGTGACGAGACAAGACTAAGGCCCAGTCCCAACACTCGCACTTCCACCCTTGCGCCCCTCATTTGCACGTTCCTGATGATGGTGCGAGGGCTTAGGGTACAGTCCCAATTCCCCAGGGAGGTCTGTAGCCCCGCCCCCTTTTCAAACAAAAGCACACTTCGTAGAGGAGTGTAGGCTGCAGTGTGGGTATTGAGACAGGGCCTAAGACACAGGTGATACACGTGAGGGCGGGGCATCAGGAAACAGGAAGTACAACCAAAGAAGACACAGGGGTTAACAAATTACAGAATAACACCGGAAAGAAATCTAAACCATGACACTATTTATTCAGTTATCTGCTAAATAATTGTACATTTTTGATATTGGTTCAGATATTGGGAGATGGAAAAGTCATTTAGAATTAGAACAGTGTTATTTCAATATGTAATTTCTCCTCAGATTGGAGAGAGAGGCCTGAACTTGTCGGGAGGGCAGAAGCAGAGGATCAGTTTGGCCAGAGCCGTGTATTCCAACAGAGACATAGTTCTTCTGGACGACCCTCTCTCAGCGGTGGACGCTCATGTGGGGAAACACATCTTTGAACAATGCATCAAGAAGGAGCTGCGTGGAAAGTCTGTCGTTTTGATCACTCACCAGCTCCAGGTATTTGTGTGACCAAGGTTTGTGGTGGAAGCAAGTGCAGATCTACACCACATCAGGGGTGTCCAAACTTTTTAGTAAGAGGGCCACTTTAGTTCACCAGACTAGTCCAGGGGCCGACATCACGGACTGAAAAACTGTCTTGACTGACATCGGGCTGTTCTGAGCTTTATGATGATCTATAACTGAGCTGAAGTTGGCTGAATGACACATGTTTATTATCTCACCACAAGTTTTGAGACAATAAAAAACCATGTCAGTAAAGTTCGTGCAAATAAAGCCAACGACTGGATTTGAGACGTACTGGGCTTTAGAACAAGGTCTGTATTGGCCGAGCTGAAGTTGGATGTTTGACACAGTGAACTTATGTTTATGATCTCAAAGACTAGTTTGGGTTAGCGAGGCAGAGGGCCACATAAAATGACACTAAGGGCCGCAATTGGCCCCGGCACTGCCTGTTTAAAGATTATAGGAAAACATCCAGATGGACGTTGTCAATGTGGCCAGACCGAAAGCGTTAAGCATGTGTTATTGGACTGTCAGAAGTGCGCAGTGGAGAGAGAGAGGATGCTGTGTGAATTAAGTGACTTGGGTTTTAAAGTTTTTTCAATAGCGGGTATATTCACGGAATTGCGGATTTCACGTTCTGTAGATAGAGTCATATTAAAATATCTGCTCTCTACCGACCTTGTCTCGAGAATTTAGTCCCTAATTAATATGTGTGGGAAGATGACGGAGGAGGACAGCATGGCGCACAGCCTGCCGGAAAAAATTAGAAGAAGAAGAATTGGCCCCCGGGCCTGAGTTTGGACATGCCTGACATGCTCTGCTCATGTGTCGCTCAGTACCTGGAGTTTTGTGACAGCGTTTTGCTGCTGGAGGACGGAGCGATTGTTGAAAGTGGACATCACCAGGAGCTGATGGGACTGAACCAGCGCTACACTCAGCTCATCAGCAACTATCAGACACAACAGTCCAAGGTAAAGCTGATTACAAAGACACAGGCTGAAGTCATTCCATGGGTTTAGACACTGAACACTTGTTTACAGACTCAGCGAGGAAACATGGAGCAGTCCAAACACAGACTGCAGGAGGAGGCCGAACAAGATGGCGGCGCATGGAGCGGAACAGACCAATCAGGTTGGACCACGTTCATTTTTCACTGTTTTCTATTCAAGGTTTAAGGTTAAAGTTTGAGAATACTTTATTTATTATTAGGTTTTTATAATCAATAATAAGGTTGAGTCATTCTCCCATTTGTGTAAGACAGGGTTTATTTTTTGCTTTCTATCTCTTTTTGGTTGAATGACACCCAATTCATACATAATAGTAGTTTTACACCAAAAAAGTACAAACATTCTAGAATAAAAGTGAGAGCAGAGTCCTAAGTCCTAGAACTGAGGGACAGATGAACAGTTAAAACAATATATTATTGTGTCCATTAATCAGAATCAGAATCAGAATCATTTTTATTGCCACGTAAGTAACAGGAGGTCACAGACTAGGAAATTGCTTTGGCTCAGTGCAACAGTCAAAAAGAGATAATAAAAATAAGAATAAAAAACACTTCTAAAGAATAAATTTAAATTTAAAATAGAGTTACAGTTACTATTTTCAATATACAAGTGCACATGGTGCACACAATGTAAGGTGACAGCAGTACAGTGAAGTAAAGTGACGTATGATGGGCAGTAAAGTGACTTTATAAAGGGCGGGGGGACAGGTTAAGAAGTGTTCAAGAGTCCAACAGCAGAGGGGAAGAAACTGTTCTTGTGGCGGGAGGTTCTAGTCCTGATGGACCGCAGCCTCCTGCCTGAGGGGAGTGGTTGGAATAGTCCATGTGCAGGGTGAGAGGGGAGTGGTTGGAATAGTCCATGTGCAGGTGAGAGGGGAGTGGTTGGAATAGTCCATGTGCAGGTGAGAGGGGAGTGGTTGGAATAGTCCATGTGCAGGTGAGAGGGGAGTGGTTGGAATAGTCCATGTGCAGGTGAGAGGGGAGTGGTTGGAATAGTCCATGTGCAGGGTGAGAGGGGAGTGGTTGGAATAGTCCATGTGCAGGTGAGAGGGGAGTGGTTGGAATAGTCCATGTGCAGGGTGAGAGGGGTCGGCTGTGATACGACCAGCCCGGCCTCGAGCTCGGGCGACGTACAGGTCCTGCAGCGATGGAAGGCTGCGGCCGATCACTTCCTCTGCAGAGCGCACAATGCGCTGTAGTCTCTGTTTGTCCCTGACTGTGGCTCCAGCGAACCACACGGTGACGGAGGAGGTGAGGATGGACTCGATGATGGCCGTGTAGAACTGCACCAACATCTGTGCAGGAACACATTCAGAGTTCTGATCCACTGTGCACACAAGAGTTTAAAATAATTATCATTCAAGCAAAGGCAATAAGTGGCATCAAAATGAGGAAATAATCTCAATTTGCTACATAAGTAAACAAACAATTTTATGCATCAAGAACCCACATAATAGACTTTTCCCGAAGAGAAAATGTTTCTCTTTGGTCTCAGTGGAGATGAACGACATCATCGTAGTCTCATTAATTCAGTTTAGTCCAAGCACCAGAGACTCAAGCCTTATACATAGATAGATACAGGTGTCCAGTGGGAGAAAGTACATCCATCCAAACAAATACTTAGATTATTTCCAGTGTTATACAAATGTGAGTAGTTACAATACTGAAGCTTATGGAAAAATACATGATATATTACAGTAGCTAGTTGCCTTTTGGATGCGACACTGAATGTGAAAGCCCATGTATGTCCCCATGAGTCACTAATGTCTGTCTCTGTCCGAACACAAAGGTGAGCAGCTCATAGAAGAAGAATCCTCGACTGATGACGCCCTGAAATGGAGAGTGTACGATCGTTACATGAAAACCGCTGGAGGTGAGAGTTAAAACAAACAACTGAGAAGTCTGAGATTTCACAAATAAAAAGTACTCTTGTGTTCACAGGATGGTTTGCTCTGCTTTGTGTCCTGTTTCTCCTGATCCTGGTCATGGGAAGTTCCACCTTCTGCAGCTGGTGGTTCAGTCACTGGTTTGTTCAGAGAGACTTGACGAGAGGAAATGATTCATCGAAAGTATGTTTTCTCACGACATGTGTTTGATTTGTGGATTTCCAAAATAAAGGGCATTACAGTCATCAAATCATGAACTGATAAAAGCCTGGATCATTTTCTCCAGGTCTGAGCGGTTTCAAAAAGCCTTAACCTTACACCTTACCTAATGCGCCGCTGACCACAACGGTCAAAATCCCTGTACGTGCTTTTGTTCCCTGTGAAAATGATGTGTGCAGGTTTTGAAAAGAATATTTAATTCATTCATTCATTAATCTGACTTTGAGGAATATTTATCAAAGGTTTGTTTGTGTGTGCAAAAAATTAACCCACTCGTTTGTGATCCATTAAGGTCTCACCAATGATTATTTATAAAAACATTTACAAGAATAATTTTTGATAAATATATGAATTCTTAGGTTATATTGGTCTAGTTATGTTTACATATAAGTAACTGCAATACTGAATAAGACAAACATTAATTTACAAAAGTGTTTGGACATATGTGTTTATGTATATGTATGTATAGATATATGTGTATTTATATGTTTATGTATATGTATGTATATAACACGTATAATTGACTTGTTTGGTTAATGGCGCAGGCATTATAAACCACTGCTTCAGCCTACACCATTTTTAGTTTCCTTATTTACAGCAAAATAGACCTTTATTTTTATTTACTTTTTATTGTTTTATTTGACATGGACACAACAGTCACATTGGACACCGCACTGCCTTTAGTGTCGTAGCAAGATCATGCTAATGTTCAACACTATAAGGACACAATGCACACATTTAAAATCTACAAATAAAGTAGTTATATATACAGTACATATTTTGATTTGTTTGTTACCAAATATTTGTTCATTCATACACATTAGCTATTTTACTACCACTACGACAACTACTACACTTTAGATACCTATAGTAGTACTGTCAGGATTCAGCAGACAGAGACGGATCGTGGTGTGCCAAACTCTGGAAGTTTATTTAAGTTTCTCTCAAGTTCCAGTGGTTTACTTTGTTTCTTTCTCCCAGACAGAATAAAGGCAGTATACAGTTTATATAGTCATTGTCACGTCACACATCGAAAGACATACGTGTCACAAAGAGACAGTCACATCATAGTCATAACATGGAGTCCTTGTAGAGTCCTTGTACAGTCCTGCACGTAGGCCATATTGCTATCTAATACTAACAGTACTTAAAACACATCATAACAAACCCCTCTCTCTCCTTTTCGCCCACAGTCCAATGAAACCTCCGCCCTCTCCGATGACATCACTGAAAACCCTCGCCTTCCGTTCTATCAAATGATCTGTGGTTTCATCGTTGTTGCTGCTCTCGTCTTTGAAGCGATAAAGTGTTTTGTCTGCACTGAGCTGACCACAAAAGCTGCGTGTAACCACCACGACAGCGCTTTAAGAAACGTACATGTTTTTGTTCATATTCTCGTCTAATAATGTCCAGCTTGGATAAAACGTGTCTTTCCTTAGGTCTTATCCCGACCAATGAGTTTCTTTGACACGACGCCAACAGGCCGTATTCTGAACCGGTTCTCCAGAGACCAAGGAGAAATGGACTCAGCACTCGCCTGGAAAATGTGGAGTGTTATCCAAGTGTCCATACTGATTAGCATTACTCTTATTGCTATTGCTTTTATCATTCTGTGGATCATCCCCGGCCGGCTTTTCGTTGGAGGCCTCTTTGCACTAATCTTCACGTAAGATCACTCAGACACAACACCGGCAAACGTGGATAATGGATTCTAAATGCGTTTTATTCTGTGCTAGAGCAAGGATTTAGTCATGTTAGAACAGAGTCTATGGTAATAATATTAATAAGGTTTTGCCATGTTATCCTCGCCTTTATCAGTCCATTTCTGGGTTGGGGGGGGGCAATCTTTGCTTCGACAGAGATACGGCCTTGGTGTTTCAGCGGGGGCTTTGGGCAATGTGGGGTTTAAGTGTCTTGCCCAGGGACACAACGACAGCCGACATCAGTGGGAGCGGTGACATGGGTCGTGGGGGATCGAATGCATGACCATTAGGTTCAGAGACCAATGTTCTACCAACTGAGCCACTGTCGCCCTGTGTGTGTGTCTCTGTCTGTGTGTGTGTGTGTGTGTCTGTGTCTCTGTGTCTGTGTCTCTGTCTGTGTCTGTTTGTGTGTTTGTGTGTCTGTGTGTATGTCTGTGTGTGCGTGTGTGTGTGTCTGTGTGTCTCTGTGTCTGTGTCTCTGTCTGTGTGTGTCTGTGTCTGTCTGTGCTTGTGTGTGTCTGACTGTGTGTGTGTCTTTGTGTCTGTGTCTCTGTCTGTGTATGTCTTTGTGTATGTCTGTGTCTGTGTATGCTTGTGTGTATGCCTGTGTGTGTCTGTGTGTGTCTGTGTATATGTGTAAGCCTGTGTCCTTTTCATGACACTCAAAGACGCTTCACATGTCAATATTCACTCCAAACACGGTGAGGATAAATACCTATCGTAGCCACAGCTGCCCTGGGGCACACTGACATAAGCAAGGCCACCAGTCTGTGCCATCGGCCCCTCCCACGACCACCAACCATTCACACACACACCAAACCCTTTCATTATCAGTCAGCAAGTCCAAAATATGTCTGACGAACCAACTCAAACTCTTTTTTTCAGGATTTCTCGCGGAAAAATTCGGCAACTGAAGCAAATTGAGAACAAAAGCCGATCGCCGTGTATCTCACTGACCACTTCCTCTCTGCAAGGCCTGAGCACGATCCATGCCTACAATGTGACAGACAGCCACATCCAACTGTACGACTGTTAGATTTATGCTTTTGATTTTCTTTAGACCACGCATCTGATAAGCACAATGTTTTTCCGTTATAGGTTTAAGACCCTTACGGACGAAAACTCAAACCATTTGTTCCTCTTTAAGTCTGTATCAAGATGGATGGCTTTCTGGATGGATTTTTGCATCAGCATCTTTTCTTTGTTGATTTCTTTGTTTGTCATTTTCTGCAGTAATGAGCTGATCCCACTGCCTTTGAAAGGACTGGCCATTGCTTACAGTGTGCAGGTACTTTCAACGTCTCCCAATGACTATTTACTAACAGGCGTCTCCAGCCTTTTTCACCCAGAGAGCTACTATCCCGAGACGATAAAGGCAGAGAGCTACTCCTTTAAGCAGCATTTATCATTGCATATGTGTTACTAGTTTCCAAAAGTAAGTGAGTTAGTAATTTACAATGATAAATAATGATAATGGATAATGCAATCTGAAATATTGACTCATTGACTGTCAGTCGTTTTTGATGAATTCACTGATTTTTCAAGACCCACAGAATATTGTGTGCAATGATTATGTGAAATATGAAACCAGATTCTGAAAGATTGGACTGTCTACTTTCATCAGCAAAAATAAGTTGGTTTCTAGCTATTTTTGTTGTTCTGTAATCCCCAGTCGAAAAGGGGGAGTTTGACAAAAATCACCAGTATCAGATAAATACGTAAATGGCAGTTAATGAGTTAAGTGTAGCATTTTATTTGTCCATTTCTAAATCTTTTGGTGAGCTACCTGGAAGAGGGTGGTGAGCTACTGGCTACAGGTTGGAGACCCCTGATGTACAACATGCTGGAATGATCATGGGATGTCACTTGTGTTTTTTTAGGCGTCGAGCAATATTCGGTTTATCTTTGATCGGTCAGTAGAGGTGGAGGCAGCTTTCATTTCGGTGGAGCGTCTGCAAGAATTCATAATGGTTATTGTACTTTTTCTTATTTAGCAATGATTGTGAAGAGTTTATGAATTTAGTGGCATCTAAGATGTCTCTCCCCCCCCCAACGAATGACGATTGCTCAAGTCAAATAGCTAACTTTAGTATCAAAATGCGACAGTCCTTCAGGTCACAGCAGCAGAGGAGCCGCTTGGTTCAGACCATTCTCTCTGCTCTGGTCCAAAGTAAAACGCTGAATGCTTCATTAGCATTTTTCATAAAGTTAGCATTCCTCCAGTGGATTTTTGGCTGATCCGCTTGGTTTGGACCAGTGTAAAACCATGAATCCTCTCTGCTCTGGTCTGGACCAGTGTAAAACCATGAATCCTCTCTGCTCTGGTCTGGACCAGTGTAAAACCATGAATCCTCTCTGCTCTGGTCTGGACCAGTGTAAAACCATGAATCCTCTCTGCTCTGGTCTGGACCAGTGTAAAACCATGAACACTGAACTGCAGCAACATCTCAGGCAGAAAAAAGCAAGTCAAAAAATGGTGGATACTTTCCGTTTCAATAAAGCAATAATGTCATTCCACTCGATCAAAATCTTCATCTCTGATATTTATCCAACACCATCTCTTCATACATGGATTCCCAAGAGGTATTTAAGTTAATGACTGTATTGTGTTTCTAGGATGATACATCTGAGTCGCCCAAACACTCTCAGAATATCACAGTTCCCCCAAACTGGCCGATGGATGGGGCCATTACATTCCAGAACTACAAGATGAGATACAGAGACAAGACACCGATCGTTCTAGACGGGTTGAACATGTCCATTAAAGGCGGAGAAAAGCTCGGAATTGTGGGAAGAACGGGCTCAGGTTGGTCAGAATGTATGTTTTTGCTTTCATTTTTTTCTGGTTTTAAACTAACTCTGGATGTGGACAGGAAAGTCCTCTCTGGGAGTGGCTCTGTTCCGCCTGGTGGAGCCCACAGAGGGGTCCATTCTGATCGACGGAGTGGACATAACAGCCATAGGTCTGCATGATCTGCGCTCCAAACTGTCCGTCATCCCCCAAGACCCAGTTCTGTTCATCGGCACTGTCAGGTAATTCACATGGTCATGGTCAAGGTCAAGTTTATTTATACAAAGCATTTTAACAAACGGACATGACTTTCACAAAGTGTGTTCCAGACATTACAAAATACAACACACAAAGAAAAAAATTAAAAAATAATAATACTGGTCCACTATCATAAAAGTTTCATTTCAAGTGGTTCTGGTCCATCTCCCTCCCTCTGAGTAATGACATATTTAATACTCTAATGTAGACCGTTGCACTTATTCTAATTGTTGAAACTACTGTACATCTTCTACAGTGTGTGGCTCCACGTACCGTATAAAAACTGTGAAAAGGCCGTCACGGAGGCAAAAAGGCCTGGGCCGTTGTTTGGTCCCAGTCCAGCCCTAATTCTCACCACCAAGAATCCCACATCTGAAAAGTTATGGTTTTAAATTTGTTGTGAACATACGATTGTTGAAGGTAAATCAATCAATAAAAAACGTATTTATATAGAATCAACTCTCAAACAAAATGAACACATCCAGAGCAAAGAAATGCGTCTTAACTGCGATTTAAAGCTCTCTACAGAAGGGGTAGCTCTCTATAGAGGGGGTAGCTCTCTACAGAAGGAGTAGCTCTCTACAGAAGGGATAACTCTCTACAGAGGGGGTAGCTCTCTACAGAGTGGGTAGCCCTCTACAGAGGGGGTAGCTCTCTACAGAGTGGGTAGCCCTCTACAGAGGGGGTAGCTCTCTACAGAAGGGGTAGCTCTCTACGGAGGGGTAGCTCTCTGCAGAAGTCATAGCTCTCTACAGAGGCACGGTGGCACGGTGGCTGAGTGGATAGCACTCTCGCCTCTCAGCAAGAAGGTCCTGGGTTCGAATCCCGGCCGGACCAGGGCCTTTCTGAGTGGAGTTTGCATGTTCTCCCCGTGTCTGCGTAGGTTTCCTCCGGGTACTCCGGTTTCCCCTACCACTAAAAATATGTCCAATAGTTCTGGCATGTGCCTCCTGTACTGGCCCCGCTCCCATCTCTGTGTGGAGTGAGAGACAAATGCCCAAAATTAACAATTGTAAACCGCTTTGAGACTCAGATCTGCAGTGAAAAGGCGGTATATAAATAATAACTTACTAACTTACTTACTTACTTACAGAGGGGGTAGCTCTCTACAGAGGGGGTCACTCTCTACAGAGCGGGTAGCTCTCTACAGAGGGGGTAGCTCTCTACAGAGGGGGTCACTCTCTACAGAGGGGGTCACTCTCTACAGAGGGGGTAGCTCTCTACAGAGGGGGTAGCTCTCTACAGTCTCTTTACAATAAGGGAGAGCGTTCATGGTCCCTGCCACAGCAAAGGCTCGGTCTCCTCTGGTCTCTGGTCCAGACCTGGGCCTCTGTCCAGACCTTGGTCTCTGTGTGTGGCTTTGGGAGAAGAATCTTACTGTTATTCTACACAGATATAACTTGGACCCCTTTGACAAACACAGTGATGATGAAGTCTGGGCAGCTCTGGAGAAGACCTGCATGAAAAACGTTGTACGTCCATTTATGTATTTAATTCAAGGTTTTTGTAGATGCACCTGTGGAGAATACTTTTCCTGTTGCGTGTAAAATGATTAAGCCCTTTTAGGACTGGACTTTGTGTTAGACTTTTAGGTCCAATACAGAGCAAAACAAGGTCTGAAATTGGAATTTGTTTTTTTTAGAACCGTTTCTATCGTAATCATTATCACTTATCAAACTTGTGAAGACAGCAGCAGGTGACCAGACCTTTGGGCTGGTGCTTCCTTTTTACTATGGTCATGAACTGTTTAGTGAGAGATTATACATTATGAATTACCCCCTTTTTTTTGAATATTGTGAAAAAAAAGAAAAAAAAAACCCCCCGCTTATTTAAGATTTGATTTTTCTCCCACAGATATCACAGCTTGATGAAAAATTACTGTCTCCAGTTTTGGAAAATGGAACCAATTTTTCAGTGGGAGAAAGACAATTGCTGTGTATGGCTTGAGCTTTACTGCGGAACTCAAAGGTTTGTTTAGATAAATAAATAGATACTTTATTGATACCAGTAGGAGAAATTCAGGTGTCCAGTAGCAGCAAAAATAAAAAATAAAATTGATCATTCTAAAAAGATAACAATAGTGATAATCATCAACAGTTCTTCAGGTCACAGCAGCAGAGGTGGAGCCGCTCTGCTCTGGTCCAAAGTAAAATGTTAAATGCTTTGCTCGAATTAAAAAAAGTTAGCATTCCTCCAGTGGGTTTTCCCCTGATCCGCTTGATCCAAACCATGAATCCTCTCTGCTCTGGTCTGGACCAGTGTAAAACCATGAATCCTCTCTGCTCTGGTCTGGACCAGTGTAAAACCATAAACACTGAACTGCAGAAACATCTCAGGCAGAAAAAGCAAGAAAAATAACATTTGTAAAACACAAAACAACTGTTTCAGAGACACTTAGAACCTGCTGAGGTATAACTACCAGCATTTCATCGGTCACTAACTTTATAAGATCCTGAGACCCGGCCCATTATTTGATGTAGTTTTCATTTGTGACCAGATTATTCTTCTGGATGAGGCCACAGCTTCCATTGACTCTGAGACATAGACGTCGGAACTAGGGGTGCGGGGGGTGCGGCCGCACCCCCTCCGCGTGTGCCGGGAGCGAGAAGTTATCACTATCCTGCGTTCCTTGCAGCCCAAAACCCGCTCCATGCTGTCGGAGAAGCTTATGAAGCTCTGTCTGGCTAATATCTGTCGCAGCCTCTGAGCGCTCTTTCTCAGCCTTGCGCAGATTAGAGACCTGGCTACACCAGTGACGTGCGGTGGGGGATCAATCATGTGTTCATATTATACATCATATAAACCAACAGGACCTACAGGAACAGGAGCGGCTTATACACAATTTGTTTGGCTACAGCAGAATATGATTTAATGTCTGCATTGTTTTCTCATACAAAACGCAAACGTTTGTAAAAAGTAAAAAGTGTGTTATGGGCCTATACCTTAGGTATTAATGAACAGCACAGACCACTTCAGTTAGGACCAGTTTCATGTTTAAGTCCAGATAATAGTTTGAGCACAGACATGTAATCCTCCATTTGGAAATAAGTTCAATGAGTTTTAAAAAGTAAAAAAAACGGGTGTCTCCTCCGTAAACTCCGAGTTTTGCTGCAGCCGACTCCCGGGTAAATCCAATTTCTAAATTCAACCTTACCCTTCACCTCCTTTTCTTATGATTCATATCATCATTGGAAGCAAAACATTACTCTAAGTGCATTTTAAATTATCTTAAAATGTATTATAGGTATGTTAGCCAAACCTGTAGCTGCCCTTAGCAGAAAAGAACAAGAAAGGAGCTTTCTGATGGAATTGGATGCAGCCAAAGTTTGGGCTCACAAGCGCCCCCTTGAGGCTTTCCTCACTTACAAGCTGTGGTTGAGCGCGATTAAGACCCATATTTGCTTCAAAAACACAATTTATGAGCCATCCTCTTAAATGTAAACATGTTGATTGTAAATTAAATATTTTTGAACTTTTTAAACTGTGATAAACAGGGAAAACAGTTTGATAGCACCTCACAGGACTCTCCCTGTGAACTGTTGCTTTTTACGTCTCCCAAGAGAGGCTCGCCTCACAGCACCGCTCTGTCAAATCTGCGATTTCAAGGTATAAATAAATGAAATAAGGCACAGCACAAATCACTTGATAAAGTGACCAAACATTATTGTATCCATTTTATTACTTTTCTTTCTATGATCTTAGGTGAGGGCCTTGCCTGCCTCATCTGACCGCACGTCACTGGGCTACACAACACAATGAAGCCACCGGAGAGACTGACGCATGAATGCGTATTGAAAAAAAAAAAGTTCAGTTTGATAAGTGACTTGCTTGATATATATTGTTTATTTTGTTTTTCTTAACAATTAAGATGGTATGTTATTATCCAGTGTAATCCAAGTATGAGTCTCTCCCTCGACTCTCCCAACAAAAACCCGCCCCCCCTCTCAGAAAATAGTTCCGACGTCCATGCTCTGAGACAGACGCTCTCATACAGAACACAATCAAAGAGGCCTTCCAGGACTGCACCGTGTTGACCATCGCACACCGCATCAACACCATTCTGACCTCGGACCGTATCCTGGTCATGGACCAGGGACAGGTAGACCAGCAACACTTTTACAAACAGCACTTTACACACGGCTTTGTCAAACTCTCCTGATTGTGCTGTAGGTGGCAGAACTGGACAGACCAGACGTGTTACAGCAGAGACCAGACTCCATCTTCTCTTCTCTGGTGGAGGCGGCCAACGCTTCAAGTCACTGAACTTATAACTTTCATTTTTAGTCTCTACCTCATAAACATTAAAGGCACTTGTTTCACCATAAAACCTTTGTTCCACATTCACTGTATAGAAATAGAAATGCCAAAGAACTAATAACAAGAACATAGTACTTTGTGAAGTAAGGATAATCTGGTTGAGACTGTGTTTAATGCTTCATGAAAAGATCTCATGCAGGATATGTTCTACAAAATGTCTCAGGATCCTCTGTGAGCCGAGCAGGAGACATCACAGAGGAATGAGAGGAAGTGCAGAAGTGAACGTTAGGAGCAGGGCCCAGGATCATGTTCTACAGCGGCCTCTGAGGACCCCCTGCACACGGGTGGGGCTGCCGCTAGATGGCGCTGTGTCGTTACATATTGACACACAACAGTACAGTATTTACACACATTTACCTCAAGCATATCCACGATAGATCTGTCTTTTTTGCTGTCTCTGTTAATGAAATTGACAGAAAATGTACTGGTTTTAACAATGGCTTGATTTGAATAATATCTTCATGCTTTAATACAGTATATTATTGTCGTTGTTATGATTAGTATTATTATTATTATTATCATTGCTGTTGATATTTGCATTGTTATTAGCATGAATTTGAATACACTAACGACATTAATATAATAATAAATAAATAATAGGCTCAGAGTCATGGGTACAGTCATGGGTACAGTCATGGGTACAGTGCGCAGCTCCAGAGGGAGGGGCCAACACACTTTTCCCCTGACATAGCGGAGTCTCCTGCTGCGGACCAGACAAATACAGACTAAACTACAGACCATAAACTACTGACTGTGGAGACGGAGGAACTACTCCAAACACGTCGAAAGCGCGCACACGTAAGTCCTTTCTGCAGCTTCTCTCTGCTCTGTGTCTTATCGGTTACGTCTCTGGTCACGTCGCGTCTGTGCAGCGTGACGCGATCAAAGCCGTCACCGCTGAACTGGATTTACACTTTTTCTGTACTTTTTTGTAGTGATTTTGGGGAGTATGGGCTGCTTTACGTTAGTCCTGGTCTCAGGTCTCTGCACTGCACTGACTTCATGAGGCTCAGAGAATGTACTTTAAATCAGATCTGTTTGTTACAAGTCTCTCCATGAACATCCCAGATATGTTAGTGCCATATGAGCCAACTTTGAGGAGCACAGGGACTGGTCTGCTGCTGGGACTCTGAGGAGCACAGGGACTGGTCTCCTGCTGGGACTCTGAGGAGCACAGGGACTGGTCTCCTGCTGGGACTCTGAGGAGCACAGGGACTGGTCTGCTGCTGGGACTCTGAGGAGCACAGGGACTGGTCTCCCGCTGGGACTTTGAGGAGCACAGGGACTGGTCTGCTGCTGGGACTCTGAGGAGCACAGGGACTGGTCTCCTGCTGGGACTCTGAGGAGCACAGGGACTGGTCTCCTGCTGGGACTCTGAGGAGCACAGGGACTGGTCTCCTGCTGGGACTCTGAGGAGCACAGGGACTGGTCTGCTGCTGGGACTCTGAGGAGCACAGGGACTGGCCTCCTGCTGGGACTCTGAGGAGCACAGGGACTGGACTCCTGCTGGGACTCTGAGGAGCACAGGGACTGGACTCCTGCTGGGACTCTGAGGAGCACAGGGACTGGTCTCCTGCTGGGACTCTGAGGAGCACAGGGACTGGTCTCCTGCTGGGACTCTGAGGAGCACAGGGACTGGTCTGCTGCTGGGACTCTGAGGAGCACAGGGACTGGACTCCTGCTGGGACTCTGAGGAGCACAGGGACTGGCCTCCTGCTGGGACTCTGAGGAGCACAGGGACTGGCTCCTGCTGGTCCCAGAGTCAGAACTAAACATTCTCCCAGGGTTAGGGTTAGCTAGGGTGCCCTGAAACAGTCTTCCTGAAAATATGAGACAGGCCTTTTCTCTGACATGTCTAAATCCATTTCTGTTTAGCTGCAAACAACTGAAGGATTTCATATTTGTATCTCTCTTTTTAATATACTGTGATTATTTATGATTTGTGTGACTGTTTCTATCTGGTTTTGTTGAGAGGAACTTATCACAACTTGTTTTACTGGCTTTGGTGATTACAGGCTTGAAGGGACAGGTAATCAGGTCACACACACACACACACACACACACACACACACACACACACACACACACACACACACACGCACACGCACACGCACACGCACACGCACACACACGCACTCAGTGTTGTGTGGTTGTGTGCAGTAGGTGAGGCAGGTGTTTTTGTATGGCACAGTTTATACACGAAGGTAACCTCAAAGTGCTGGACAAAGTCAAATCGAATGTAATCGGTACATTAATATAGAGTAAAGATAAAGTGGATGAATTAATACTGTATTTTGAGACGTGGCAAACAACAACAACAACAAAACAAAACGACAACAAAGTAGAGAAAGACACAATACGTGATAATATACAATAATACATTATGTTTTGTTTTATCAAAGGTATAAAGGAGGATTTTCCCATATTTTAGGAAAGAACCGCCCTTTCTACTTTTTGAACAAAACTCTCTGCTCTTATTGGACAAGGACGTATAAACAGAATGATTGACATTTGGGAGGACCAATAGTGTTGATGATCCACCCGGAAGTAAAAAATCCTCTTGGATACCAATAATCCAGCTAATCCAGTACTCGCTCTTGCCACTAGTAGCTTGAGTCCTGAGCTGGACGTAGAGCATTCAGTCGCTTATTCTTGTTTTATGACCTGTTCCAATGAGTATTGCATTTCAAAAGGGTTTTATTTTTATATCCTTTACCTTTTAGTAGTAATTAGCATCAACGTGTTATTTCTTGACCAGCTCAAAGCATGCATTATGTAAAAGGACACAGGAGTTTGTATGATGTCTGATCTTAAAGGAACATTTTTAGTTCTGCGCCACATGGTACTTTACCAGTGAGATTAGCTCCACATGGTACTTTACCAGTGAGATTAGCTCCACACGGTGAGTTCTGGCGCCCGGATCACAGACTTTCTGATTGGTGAAACGGTGGAGGGCGGGACATCGAAATGAAAACAATAACAAGATTTAGGGGCTGGAAAAGTAATTTAGAAATAAAAATATCTCTGAACTACTGTTATCAGTTAAAGAAGGATTGGAAAAGAACAGGTTTTATTAATGCCTTTGGACAGATCAGGGCCTTTTAATGATGACTACATGAAAATCTTACATATTGCTACTTTAAGTAGCTTCAGGATTTGAATCTCTATAGTTGTGTGTCTATAGTTCCATATATGTCCAGCACTGACTGCCCAGTGGTTGATAAGCTCCACCCTCTGCTGACTGCCCAGTGGTTGATAAGCTCCACCCTCTGCTGACTGCCCAGTGGTTGATAAGCTCCTCCACCCTCTGCTGACTGCCCAGTGGTTGATAAGCTCCACCCTCTGCTGACTGCCCAGTGGTTGATAAGCTCCACCCTCTGCTGACTGCCCAGTGGTTGATAAGCTCCACCCTCTGCTGACTGCCCAGTGGTTGATAAGCTCCACCCTCTGCTGACTGCCCAGTGGTTGATAAGCTCCACCCTCTGCTGACTGCCCAGTGGTTGATAAGCTCCACCCTCTGCTGACTGCCCAGTGGTTGATAAGCTCCACCCTCTGCTGACTGCCCAGTGGTTGATAAGCTCCACCCTCCTCTGACTGCCCAGTGGTTGATAAGCTCCACCCTCTGCTGACTGCCCAGTGGTTGATAAGCTCCACCCTCTGCTGACTGCCCAGTGGTTGATAAGCTCCACCCTCTGCTGACTGCCCAGTGGTTGATAAGCTCCACCCTCTGCTGACTGCCCAGTGGTTGATAAGCTCCACCCTCCTCTGACTGCCCAGTGGTTGATAAGCTCCACCCTCTGCTGACTGCCCAGTGGTTGATAAGCTCCACCCTCCTCTGACTGCCCAGTGGTTGATAAGCTCCACCCTCTGCTGACTGCCCAGTGGTTGATAAGCTCCACCCTCTGCTGACTGCCCAGTGGTTGATAAGCTCCACCCTCTGCTGACTGCCCAGTGGTTGATAAGCTCCACCCTCTGCTGACTGCCCAGTTGTTGATAAGCTCCACCCTCTGCTGACTGCCCAGTTGTTGATAAGCTCCACCCTCTGCTGACTGCCCAGTGGTTGATAAGCTCCACCCTCCTCTGACTGCCCAGTGGTTGATAAGCTCCACCCTCTGCTGACTGCCCAGTGGTTGATAAGCTCCACCCTCTGCTGACTGCCCAGTGGTTGATAAGCTCCACCCTCTGCTGACTGCCCAGTGGTTGATAAGCTCCACCCTCCTCTGACTGCCCAGTGGTTGATAAGCTCCACCCTCCTCTGACTGCCCAGTGGTTGATAAGCTCCACCCTCTGCTGACTGCCCAGTGGTTGATAAGCTCCACCCTCCTCTGACTGCCCAGTGGTTGATAAGCTCCACCCTCTGCTGACTGCCCAGTGGTTGATAAGCTCCACCCTCTGCTGACTGCCCAGTGGTTGATAAGCTCCACCCTCTGCTGACTGCCCAGTGGTTGATAAGCTCCACCCTCTGCTGACTGCCCAGTGGTTGATAAGCTCCACCCTCCTCTGACTGCCCAGTGGTTGATAAGCTCCACCCTCAGCTGACTGCCCAGTGGTTGATAAGCTCCACCCTCCTCTGACTGCCCAGTGGTTGATAAGCTCCACCCTCTGCTGACTGCCCAGTGGTTGATAAGCTCCACCCTCCTCTGACTGCCCAGTGGTTGATAAGCTCCACCCTCTGCTGACTGCCCAGTGGTTGATAAGCTCCACCCTCTGCTGACTGCCCAGTGGTTGATAAGCTCCACCCTCTGCTGACTGCCCAGTGGTTGATAAAGCTCCACCCTCTGCTGACTGCCCAGTTGTTGATAAGCTCCACCCTCTGCTGACTGCCCAGTTGTTGATAAGCTCCACCCTCTGCTGACTGCCCAGTGGTTGATAAGCTCCACCCTCCTCTGACTGCCCAGTGGTTGATAAGCTCCACCCTCTGCTGACTGCCCAGTGGTTGATAAGCTCCACCCTCTGCTGACTGCCCAGTGGTTGATAAGCTCCACCCTCTGCTGACTGCCCAGTGGTTGATAAGCTCCACCCTCCTCTGACTGCCCAGTGGTTGATAAGCTCCACCCTCCTCTGACTGCCCAGTGGTTGATAAGCTCCACCCTCTGCTGACTGCCCAGTGGTTGATAAGCTCCACCCTCCTCTGACTGCCCAGTGGTTGATAAGCTCCACCCTCTGCTGACTGCCCAGTGGTTGATAAGCTCCACCCTCTGCTGACTGCCCAGTGGTTGATAAGCTCCACCCTCTGCTGACTGCCCAGTGGTTGATAAGCTCCACCCTCTGCTGACTGCCCAGTGGTTGATAAGCTCCACCCTCCTCTGACTGCCCAGTGGTTGATAAGCTCCACCCTCAGCTGACTGCCCAGTGGTTGATAAGCTCCACCCTCCTCTGACTGCCCAGTGGTTGATAAGCTCCACCCTCTGCTGACTGCCCAGTGGTTGATAAGCTCCACCCTCTGCTGACTGCCCAGTGGTTGATAAGCTCCACCCTCTGCTGACTGCCCAGTGGTTGATAAGCTCCACCCTCTGCTGACTGCCCAGTTGTTGATAAGCTCCACCCTCTGCTGACTGCCCAGTTGTTGATAAGCTCCACCCTCTGCTGACTGCCCAGTGGTTGATAAGCTCCACCCTCCTCTGACTGCCCAGTGGTTGATAAGCTCCACCCTCTGCTGACTGCCCAGTTGTTGATAAGCTCCACCCTCTGCTGACTGCCCAGTTGTTGATAAGCTCCACCCTCTGCTGACTGCCCAGTTGTTGATAAGCTCCACCCTCTGCTGAGTCCATCCGGTTCCTCTGTGATATTTCCTTCCTCTGCTCGTTTCCCAAATGACAGAATATTTTGGGGCCTTGTGGTCAGCAGAAATAGCAGCACTTGTAAAGCACAGACTTCTCTTTTTGCACCACACTCAGAGAAAGAGGCGCGTGTGTGTGCGCACGTGTGTGTGTGTGTGTGTGTGTGTGTGTGCGTGTACGTGTGCGTGTGTGTGTGTGTGTTTTTTGTGTGTGTTTGTGTGAGAGCGTCTCTCTGCGTCTCTCTGTGTGTCTTTCTCTCGGCGTCTCTCTCTGCGTCTCTCTCTGTGTCTCTCTGCGTCTCTCTCTGTGTCTCTCTGCGTCTCTCTCTGTGTCTCTCTGTGTCTCTCTGCGTCTCTCTGTGTGTCTCTCTGCGTCTCTCTCTCTGTGTGTCTCTCTGCATCTCTCTCTCTCTCTGTGTCTCTCTGCGTCTCTCTCTGTGTCTCTCTGTGTCTCTCTCTGCGTCTCTCTCGGTGTCTGTCTGTGTCTCTCTGCGTCTCTCTCTGTGTCTCTCTGTGTCTCTCTCTGCGTCTCTCTCTGTGTCTGTCTGTGTCTCTCTGTGTCTCTCTGCGTCTCTCTCTGTGTCTCTCTGTGTCTCTCTGCGTCTCTCTCTGTGTGTCTCTCTGCATCTCTCTCTCTCTCTGTGTCTCTCTCTGCCTCTCTCTTTCTGTATCTCTCTCTGCGTCTCTCTCTTTCTGTGTGTCTCTCTCTGCGTCTCTCTATTTCTGTGTGTCTCTCTCTGTGTGTCTCTCTCTCTGCGTCTCTCTCTGTGTCTCTCTCTGCGTCTCTCTCTGTGTCTGTCTGTGTCTCTCTGTGTCTCTCTCTGTGTCTCTCTCTGCGTCTCTCTCTGTGTCTGTCTGTGTCTCTCTGCGTCTCTCTCTGTGTCTGTTTGTGTCTCTCTGCGTCTCTCTCTGTGTCTCTCTGTGTCTCTCTGCGTCTCCCTTTCTGTGTGTCTCTCTGCGTCTCTCTCTCTGTGTGTCTCTCTGCATCTCTCTCTCTCTCTGTGTCTCTCTGTGTGTCTCTCTCTGTGTGTCTCTCTGCATCTCTCTCTCTCTCTGTGTCTCTCTCTGCCTCTCTCTTTCTGTGTCTCTCTCTGCCTCTCTCTTTCTGTATCTCTCTCTGCGTCTCTCTATTTCTGTGTGTCTCTCTCTGTGTGTCTCTCTCTCTGTGTCTCTCTGTGTCTCTCTCTGTGTGTGTCTCTCTGTGTGTCTCTCTCTGTGTGTCTCTCTCTCTGTGTGTCTGTCTCTGTGTGTCTCTCTCTGTGTGTCTCTCTCTGTGTGTCTCTCTGTGTGTCTCTCTCTCTGTGTCTCTGTGTGTCTCTTTGTGTGTCTTTCTGTGTGTCTTTCTGTGTCTCTCTCTGTGTGTCTCTCTCTCTGTGTCTCTCTCTGTGTGTCTCTCTGTGTCTCTCTCTGTGTGTCTCTCTGTGTGTCTCTCTCTCTGTATCTCTGTATCTCTCTCTGCGTCTCTCTCTCTCTGTCTGTCTCTCTGTGTGTCTCTCTGTGTGTCTCTCTGTGTCTCTCTCTGTGTGTCTCTCTGTGTCTCTCTCTGTGTGTCTCTCTGTGTGTCTCTCTGTATCTCTCTCTGCGTCTCTCTCTCTCTGCATCTCTCTCTGCGTCTCTCTCTGTGTGTCTCTCTGTGTGTGTGTTCTCTGCTGTTCTTTATTGTGCAGGCAGTTAATGCTATGAACAGCCTGTAAAGTGCTTTACAAGTAGAAAGAAAGACAGAAAGATTCTTCATTGATCCGTGTCGGAGAAATGCAGGTGTCCAGTAGCAGCAGAAACACATCCATCCAAACACACAACAAATAAAAACATCATTCAAAAAGTATCTGCAAAAGTGAAAGCAGCAGTCCTTCAGTTCCACAGGTTCAGTGTAATATTGTTTAACCACAGGGATCTTCATGTCAGATTTTGCTTTCTCTCTCTTTCAGATTTTCCACTGATTACATTTAGTCATCGACAAAAGACATGCTTCTCTACATTAAAGGTAAGCACGGGGGAAACGGGGAAACGTAATTCTGACTTTCAAAGAGAAGAAAATGAAATGTTGTTTAACTGAACTTAGATTTCATTGAATTGTGAATCATGTGTTTTTCTCAAACGGCTGAATTTTAAAAACAGTTTTGTCTTGATCTCCAGAACAGCTCTCTTTGAATGAGTGTTATTACTACATTAGTGATCCAAAGAAATGCTCTAAAACAGGAGTGTTAAACTTGTTTTGTTCTGGGGGAAATGAAAATAAATAGGAACTGGTCAAGGGTTCTTATGATTGTTTTTTACACTTTGGAGGATTTTTTTGACATGTTCTGAAAATAAAATGTGTTTATTGTTTAGAATGAACCAAAACTGGATCAAATATAAAGTTAAATGTAGGAGGATTTTCTACTTCCGGGTGGATCATCAATACTACTGTCAATCATTCGTAAGACCAGAGAGTTTTGTTCCAAAAGTGGAGAGAGCAGTTCTTTCCCGAAATGTGGGTAAATTGTCCTATATACTTTCAACTATTTAACTTCTAATGATGTCTTGGGTTAAAATGTTGTAATAAATTAAATGTGGATGTTTTCCTGAGAACATAGATTATGTATAACCTGCCTTGGTTGCTCATTACCATCACTGCTGCAAGTTAAAGGAGCAGTGTGTAAACATGTGGCCAAAAGTGGTACTGCAGCCTCTCCCACTCTCCCTGACTCAGGTTGCCAGATATGCAGACAAATCCAGCTGGGACCATAACAGCTGAATAGACAAGAGTTTTGTCAACAACAAATCTATAACCAACACCTTTTTCACAAAGATAGAAATCCTGGTTTTATTCCTTGTTTTGTCGTTAATGATTTGAGAATCATAACGAGAGCTTTTTTAGTTCTGCGCCACATGGTACTTTACCAGTGAGATTAGCTCCACGCGGTGAGTTCTGGCGCCCGGATCACAGACTTTCTGATTGGTGAAACGGTGGAGGGCGGGACATCAAAATGAAAACAATAATAATAATTTATGGGCTGGAAAAGTAATTTAGAAATTCAAATATCTCTGAATGACTGTTATCAGTTAAAGACGTATTGGAAAAGAACAGTTTTATTGATGCCTTTGGACGGATTAGGGCCCTTTAATGATGACAGATTAGGGCCCTTTAATGATGACAGATTAGGGCCCTTTAATGATGACAGATTAGGGCCCTTTAATGATGACAGATTAGGGCCCTTTAATGGTGACAGATTAGGGCCCTTTAATGATGACAGATTAGGGCCCTTTAATGATGACAGATTAGGGCCCTTTAATGATGACAGATTAGGGCCCTTTAATGGTGACAGATTAGGGCCCTTTAATGATGACAGATTAGGGCCCTTTACACTTGACATGAAAATCTTGCATATTGCTACTTTAGTAATAATAATTAAAATCATGTTAGGGGGCCACTAAAACTAGTCTTGTGGGCCGGATTTAGCCCCGAGCCTGAGTTTGACCTGTCTGCTGTGAAGGATCCTGAGAGTAAAATGGGGGAAGGTGAAAATAGAAAGCGTCCTATTGCACTGCTCCATTTGTTCATGTCAAGCCAAACCTCTGGCTCCCTGCCACCACCGCAGGCGTCATGTTTGATGCTAAAATTAAAAAAAAAAGTGTGGAAATTACTCTTGGCAAACACAGAAATCAAATAAAACAATTTCCAAATATTTGTCTTGCTATGGACTTTCCTGAACTGGCATAAGCGTGCTGTTGTCGCTGGGATTGGCTGGGCTTCGTGCTCCGTGCCAACGTCAACAGAGCGGAGCCGATGGCGGCGTGGGGTGACTTCATTAAACTCACTGTGGATTTGAAGAGACGAGATCCAGACCTGAGACCGGTCTGAGTCTCCACAGCTCCACTCTCTGTTCTAATGCTGCTGCTTTTCATTTGAGGCCGGACACTTGCAACATGTCCCCACCGTGGTATAAATATGTAAACATTCTGCTCTTTCTGTGCGTTCAAACTGCACAGTAATCTCACAATCTTTTTTAGTTTTACTCATATTATTTAGATTAGATTAGATAGATTTAGAGGCTGAATTTTTTTTTATTCAGCCCCTAATTCAGGGCTCATAGGAGGATAAAAGTTCACAAATAAAGCTTGGAGCCAGATAATAACGTAGAAAAGTAATCAGTAAAATCTTAAAATCAGTTCTAAAACGCACAGGGAGCCAGTGGAGGGACGCTAACACAGGGGTGATGTGCTCCCTTCTGCTAAAACCAGTGAGAAGTCTGCGTTCTGGACCAGTACAGGACATGTCGTGTTGGAGGCTTTGGGAATGGAATAATTACACATACTGGTGGTGATTTTACCAAGGAAACAGACCATATTAGGTATAGATAGATAGATAGATACAGTAGATAGATAGATACAGTAGATAGATACAGTAGATAGATACAGTAGATAGATACCGTAGATAGATAAATACAGTAGATAGATACAGTAGATAGATACAGTAGATAGATACAGTAGATAGATACCGTAGATAGATAGATACAGTAGATAGATACCGTAGATAGATAAATACAGTAGATAGATACAGTAGATAGATACAGTAGATAGATACCGTAGATAGATAGATACAGTAGATAGATACAGTAGATAGATACAGTAGATAGATAGATACAGTAGATAGATAGATACAGTAGATAGATAGATACAGTAGATAGATACAGTAGATGATAGATACAGTAGATAGATACAGTAGATAGATAGATACAGTAGATAGATAGATACAGTAGATAGATACAGTAGATAGATACCGTAGATAGATAGATACAGTAGATAGATACAGTAGATGATAGATACAGTAGATAGATAGATACAGTAGATAGATAGATACAGTAGATAGATACAGTAGATAGATAGATACAGTAGATAGATAGATACAGTAGATAGATACAGTAGATAGATAGATACAGTAGATAGATACAGTAGATAGATAGATACAGTAGATAGATAGATACAGTAGATAGATACAGTAGATAGATA